TAGAACTTTGGCTATAAACAATTTATAGAGAGAGCGGGGTGAACTCACGCAGCGCCGAAAGGTAAATGACCAAAAGCCATCGAATCGACGAGCGCTAAAAATCATTTTTGTCGTGCCGCCAAAATGGATTAATCGAGGGAGGTTTTATTGATGAACAAAACATCGTTTGGAGGACATTGGCATGTTGAATTAATTGTAAGTTGATTTATGCAATATGTGTGGATTTTGTTTTATCTTTTGAGGGGTTCTTAATCCCAAAAAATTGATTAGGGGAGTGCCCTTACAAGGTATTAACTACGGTACTAGTTATGATTTATGTAAAAGATTATAATTTGTATTGTGTTTTACATGGGAGGGTTGAGATGTTTATGTATTTCAATAGGGAAACAATTATTTTAATGTTATTTAGAGAATAGGAATGGGTATTGCACGGAAATACAAAACCTATTTATAAATGAGTTTTTATTTTTCCAAAAATGGAAAGCCCCGGAAACAAATTATAAACATGAAACCCTAAAACTATTGAATTAATTTCCAAATTAAAACTGCAACTCTCGATTTCCTCTTGTCATTTTCATAACGGCTGCATTCGCCGCCGAGGCGGATTATTTCGTAATGGTCGAAAATAATCGATAAGTGCTACGTCAGCTCATTCGGGTATTTGAATTGCTCTGCGAAGCGCATCTAAAGGGTGCTAGAAACCCCTATTGTTTTTGGCTTTAAGTGGAATTTCGGTTTCTCTTTGCCTTTTGCTTTTAGCACTGCCGTTACTCTCCTTCCCCAGCATGTTGACTTATCTAATTTGCATAATTTTGCACGCGAAAAACACTCCGAAATTATATTTTTTTGCATGCAAATTGAAAATTGATTTTCGTGTTGCGCAAAATCGAAGGTGTCGAAGGTTATTTGTTGGAAACTGCATTTCGTCTTTTTTGATTGCCACATAAATAATATTTTATGGCCATAAACATCTAAACATGCATGCGTTTATTGAAATTAGGCACATCGAAACTCCCAATTTGATTGGCTAAATTGGCTGTTAGTTTTTATTTGCTTTCTGTGTCTCGAGAGAATTATTGATTTATGAACTGATTGATGTGCTGCTGTTGCATAATTTATACAGCATCTAATTGAGGCCAATTGGTGGATTTACAGAGAACATTCCCATGACTCTGGGGTTGACCTTCCACCCACGCCCTTGTTAACGCCTTCGCGGTTGAAATTGGCGAAATGTGCCAAATATATGTATGTATATTCGGTCCAAAAAGAGCTACGCCCACCTCGAATGCCTTAGGCCAAACGTAAACAAAGCGTGCCCAAAAATAGCTCTCGACCCGAGCGATTAGCATCTGGGCAGTCGAACGTGATGAGCCTCCTCCATTGGCATGGGCTGCCATCTCCCGAATTCTACGATACCCCCTGGCCACCAGGTAGTGCCCAACTTGCGTGACACTTTTGCCAAACGACTGGGATCAACGCATTCTCACCGAGACCCGGCTAATTGTTCACACCCGCCAGCCAACTTGGCATGGAAATGGGCACTGGAGCCACACCCAGCTGAAACTAATCTGTAAACAATTAAGGCGGAGGTTGCCAGTGCATATCTCAAATTAATTTGCAGCATGTGTGCCTTTCAGCTAATTAAGTTTGCCCACTGACGAATTTGAAAATAATGAGAGGGGTACATAGAAAAAAATGTAAGATATTAGTTAGGTACCTACAGAAGTTTTAAAAAATGTTCAAGAAATTGAACATTGATAATATTTTAATATTAAATAATAAGTTGGAACTTATAACACTACCGCAGAAAAGCCAAAAAATGTTTAAGAATTTGTCTAATTTAAAAATCTAGGTAAAAATAACGTAATATCTCGGCACACAACTGGAATTACCGACTACGTAAGTGTGACTTTAAGTGTAAGTTTGAAAGTGTTTCGAATTTGTTTTATTACTCAGCATTTATTTTTTAGTGTAACAAATTCGTTGCAGACGTTGGAACAGTAATAAATTTAATAATTAAATCGGCTGCAGGTCGACCATTAAATGTTCAATGGAAAAGTACGCCACAAAACAACAGACAGAAGACCGTGCTGATAAGACATAAACTAATGGAGGGAACGCGGGAAAAGTGGAGTGCCGGGAAAAGGGAAAGGGGGACCCGTGCCTAGAAAAGCATATCAGTCCAAGCGAACGCATTTGACTCACTTTCACACAAACAAACGAAAGGCAACAGACAAAAGCAAACAACACGAGTCCGGCAAACGTGGAAACTCGGCAAATACCAGTACAAATATGGCCTGCAAGCACATGTGTGAAATTTAGGTGAGGGCACTGTAAACAGTCCCTGCAACCGATATTTTTGGTTGCCCAAGAGCAGCTTATCTGCCTCTTTTATATACACAAGTATATACAGCGCTCATTCAAAAAATAGTGGTTCAAAACGTATGTAAATAGTTTTTGAAAGAAGTATTCTAGTTGAAAAGAGTATTGTGTAAAGTATGTGCACTTATTCTTAATCTGTTGATACAGTATTCTTGTCTAGGAACTGGAACTGCTCTCTATGTATTAATAAAATTTATTGAACATTTTGACTAATGTAGATTTTTAATTTAGATTGTTTTATTAGAGCTTACTACATATCTCATTTTATTAATACTGATTGTTCTATCAAAAATTTAAAATAAAAACTGTTTGGAATAATATGACATTTCAGAACTAGAAGTCAATGACCCTTAAAACCAATTTGGGATACTAAAATGTTGACCCCAGCTGTGAGCTCATTGTAATAAGCAACTCAAAGTGATTACAAGAGACCGCACTTTCCCATATCTTTTTAAGCTGGGTATTTCAGGTCCGCTGATATGACACCCACACACACTCGCACACATCCACAGCTGTTTGGACTCCGACTGATTAACTAATTGGAAATTTGTTTTGCATTTGTTTCTGCCAGTTTTCCGCTTCTGTCTTTCGCTAATGAAAATGAAAAACGAGTAAAAAAAAGTCAGTAGCGCACACTTACATTTACATGCGGTTGCGTAGCCGCCCTAACGGTAAAAAACATTTGTAATTGCAATTTGCTTGGAGAGTCAAGTGTCAGCTGTTTGCTCCCCTCTTCCCCACTCATTCCATCTCTTTCCCCTTCTGACACGCAATATGGCGTCATGTCTTAGGCATCTCACTCGCACACACACTGAGAACAAAAACATGTGTGGTCAAAATGAATGCGACAATTAAAATAAGTGAGCCACAAAGTGAGGCTTTTGCGTTGGCTTTGGCAGCCAGCGCGAATTGCTGTAAATTACTGTGTGGATAAAGAGAATTAGAGGAAAATTCATTCTAGGTCAGCGGTGGAAATGAGCTCATGTGCCATACAGTGGTCACTTGTTAGGAGGAACTTCAAGGTGAGGGTGGGAAATGAACTAAAGTGATAAGATAAGTGATGCAAAACAAATTATAGTTTTAAAATATATTAAATGTTCTTTATTTTAAGCAAAGCTTAAAATAATTTCAGACAAATGTTAATTGAAAAGTTCTACGTCCAACTTGAAATGGAAAAATATAATATTGTAAATATATCTTATGATAAAGAATCAGAACTTCATTCACGTCCTGTTTAGTTAGTTGATAATAAGATAATGTTGGAATTTTCATATTTATGATAAGTAAACATAAACAATCTTGCGTTGCTGGCGCCTTGATATAAAAATGATACCCGTAATACCGGCTTCCGCAACTCGTTAAAAAGGTAAAAAAAACAATTGATCGATTGCCAGAAACTGCGATGAGGCACTAAATTTACTATCCCCTAAAAATAGAAATATTTGGCAACCCAATTTCCCAGAAATAATTTCACTTCAATCAAAGTGTAATGAAATGTTCCATTTCCCCAGTAAACTTGGGGAGATCTCACCGCCACATTTATTATTAGTATCTGGCCAAGATAAGGATAACAAGTGCACTAGAAGAGTGACGCATAGTAAGCCCCCTTAAGTCCATTAGCCACTTGACTTTTGGCCAAATCGGAATGCCCACGCTTCTGTATTTTTGCTCCTAACACAAAGTCTGGGATCCAGAAAACAGAGGGTGCTAAAAGTATAAATTTAAATGCAGACAGCTGTTGGTATTCGAAATTTGACTGAGTCATATAAAATTGTTGTTAGCAGAATTTCGTGTTGGTTTGATTGATTAACTATAGTCATTATTCGCAGTCATATAGTATTTTCTCTTTTTCACGAAGATGATGCTCTCACATATGCAAATTGGGTTAATAACTTATTTCCATGTTTGCATTTGGTCTTAGATGACTTTTATTTTCACAGCTCTTGATGAGAAGCGGGTTTTTATTGATTTTTCTTATTTACTTGGAAAAAATGCAGTGTGGAGGGTTAGGGGAGAAAGTGTGGGGAGAATTATATAGAGGGAGAAGGGGGGACGCCAAAATACGCGTTTTTTTATGGCGGCTTATTTGTTGTTTGCGGCTCACACAGATAACATAAATATGTGTGTGCGTGTGTGTGTAAGAGAGGTGGCAAGGATAACAGAGAGGAGTAGAGTGCAAGAGTGGAGAGCGAGTTAAAGAGAGAGAGAGAGAGGTAGCGATTCCTACCCCAATTACGCCCGGCGGCTCCAAAACAGCCCACGCATACACATGCAAGATGAAAACACAGCTGCAGCGGCGCTGATTTATTGATTTTTCCGAGATTCAGAATCTTACGCTATTTATCAATTACATAAAATGTTACTTTTAAATTGTGCCAATAAAATGGAGAATAAAATTAGCCACAAAGGGGTTTATAAATAGCCTTTTTCACGTCTGCCCTTGAGGTTTTTTTTTTATCAACCGTTCCTTTCCTACCTGCCTTTTGAACAACACACACACAAGAGCAGAGGCGGCTAAGAAGGAGGCGAAAAAAGGCAAGAAGATGCCAAAAACCCACACAAAAACAACAAACTCTACAATTTACAAGTTCGTGTGTGTATACTTGGCTTGTACTTACTTTTTTTGGTTAGTTAAAACAAGACCGTGGTCACAGGGAATAGCAGTGGGAAAATCTTGTTTTGTTATTTTGATTAATTATCTTTATTGCACGGCACTTTCATTGACATTTCTTTTGATTTCTTATGGGGAAACTGAACAGGCTTTTCTGCTTGTTTTTCTTGTGCCTTTTGTTGTTGTTGTTGGCTCAGCAAAAAGGAAATACTGCGCGAACTTGGGGCGAATACATAACTGGTTTTCCGCACAACTTCTTTTTTGCGTGAGTGTTTCTCTCCTTTTCTGAATTATCGCTGGCACTTGTCTTACGTTTATTGACTGCTAGCTTAGGACGCGATCGAAACGAGCCTTTTTGCTGGCCAATTGACTGCTATTCGTTGGATTTTTCAAAAAAACGTCGCGACGAAAAATCGCGAGCGTTCCATAACGACCGATCCGACAACATAAACACCCTATATACCTAACGAGTTTAAAAGTAACTGTGACCACTTGACGAAAAATCCACGACTTTCCGCGCTATTGTGTGGTATTTTCAAATGGCTGAAATACTACCCTACCAAAGTGGCAGCTCCGTTGAGCGTGGTGTGACCTTTAGCTATGGTGGTAAACTTTGATAATAAACTATGTGGCAACAATAGAGGAATTCAAAAAAAATGTTACGATTTAAATTATTTTTAAAAGGATTTTTTATTTCTACAATAGAGGAATTCATAAAAAATTGTACGGTTGTTTTTATTGCAATCATTTTTTTCTATTAAGATGATCGCGACACAAGACTACAGTTTTAATCCTTACCCACTGATAAATACCATAGACATCGGGCTTAAATTTGCTTTTATTAATAAAATAGTTTTTTTTTAGTTTACTATCTGACATTATATTCCCAATTCAAGAAAAACACTGCAATTAATATATACATAAATTAAATTTGAGTACTTTATGACATTTACTTTATTCTCATTTCATATTATTAACGAAAAAATGTACATAAAAACGTTTCTGCTTTGGTTTTCCGTTACTTCACTTCCGATAATTATACATAATTTGACTTTTCCTATGGTTTTTCCGGCGCCGCTCACTGCGTTGGTCCAGACACACAAGTAAATTGATGGGAAGCCTGGCTAAATATCAAAATACTGCTCTCGACTGCTTTTGGGTAGTGGCCAATTGTGGAATTCTTCATTTTCTCTGTACAGGGTAAAATTCGTTTATACATTTCGAGTCCGGAAAGGGTCTTATATCTGGAATCTGGGCTCTGGACCTGGTCTCATTCATTCATTCAATTCGCTCTAAGTTAGCTATGTATTGTTTTAAGTTTGCTTTAAAAATTAGCCTTTGCTTATAAATATATTTCTGTGTAGATTTTCCTCAGCTTCTCCGCCAGTAATTATTGTAGAAGCAGCCTGTAGACGGTTCGTGAGACGCAAGAAGTGCTGTTGCAGTTCGGTGTTGCTATTTTTGATTTCTATTCAGTTTTTGGTTCGCTTTACAATTAAATTGTCTGACAAATTTACACAAGAGAAATGGAATCGAAGCGAATCAAATTACATATGCGGTGTAAAAATACAAAATATCTTTGCGAAGATTAAGTCGTACCCTACATATATATGGGAATATGCGATAGGATAGTCGATCGTGGATGGAACGAGTAATCTATAAAGTATTATTTGGCCTATATTGATAATTTCTTTTGACAAAACTCAATTATAAAATGAAATATTAAACAAATACATATGTTAACCAATAAAACTTTTGAAAATTAAATCGTACTCTTATTTTAGATGCTTAATTTCTTGAAAAGAATATCTACGAATTCTATAGATTACATCCCCCATCCACACATTGAAATATACAAGATACATCAATGAGTTCTCTTTAATTGCCTAATAGGTTGTGATGTTCTATGCTGCTCGGCTACTTAAGATTATTGTACAAGCGACAGAATCAGCAAACTGGATAAACGAAACGAAACCCATCGAATCGGATCCGAACGAAAGACTGAATTTTGTTAACAATAAATGGGGGATAACCATCCCCATCCTCTTCTGGGTACCCGCTCTACTGGTACTCATCGTCGCTGCTCAGCAGCATGGTCTTCTCGTTGTAGTTCTGGCTGATGGTCGCGACTCGCTGACCGCCGGGCTGGAACTTCCTCTGGTTGCCTAGCGTCTTTGAGGCCATGCAGTTGCTGCCGCCGTTTCCACCGGATCCTGGTCCAGTGGCCACCGCATTGTATCCCCCGCTGGTGGGCTGAGAAGCCTGCATGGATCCTGTTCCAGCTCCCGAGCTCGGATCATCCGGATCATAGCTGGAGACGCGAATGCCGCGCGAGCTCTTGCCACCTGTTTGGGTGTTAGTGGAGGGAATGGGCTTAATCGTAACGGGGCACACGGATCGAGGAACTATATCTATGTACAGGGACCCTTAGATCATGCCATGCTTGCATCACCTATGCCTTGATTAAGTTCCTTTTTAGCTAAATTCATTTTATAAACTACAGCATACTAATACTTTAAAGAGATATTAGAGAACAAGTTGAGAGAAATCAAATAATGAATTGTTTTTTTTATGGAAATAGGCATTGAAACTATCTTCGTACCAAATAATAATGATTTACAAAGTTTGCAAAATAAAAGATAGTATAATTTTCCCTATTGAAACAAACACTTCTCAAGAATATTAAAAAATAACTAAAAACTCTTAAGCTTAAACAATTAATTTAAAAAACTACTGAATTCTTAATCAAGGTATAGGAATAAATGCATAGTTTGAATGAGTCCAATGAACATGCAACGAAGAAAACGAGGCAAGGCAGGTCAAACAGTTGTCAAGCTTATTGTACATTTATTGCTAAATATTTTATACAATTGGTTTAAACATTTACAAACAGAAGTAATTAGAAGCACGACGAGAGCTTATCACAAAAAAAAGGTTGTCAAAGGGGCAAATTAAAAGAAAATAAAGAAAAACATTGTTTTTGGTATCTTTGAGCGAAACGGAAATACGTAAATAAATGCTGAAGGGAATCTAACTTGAATACCGCTCGAACCAAGAACCTAGTTTAGCAGCTGCCGATATTGTATACAGTATAATAAAATCTTTGTTTACAAATACATAATATTGTACAATATTATAGTTCGTTTCGTACATATCTAACATTTAAATAAGTTGTTTAAAAAATGCTTAAATTTAAGTGTAAAGTGTAAACGTAAGAAATACAGAAGTACAGACAGAGGCGCGCGGCGAACGGGGGACTCTAAAATCCCTAAACACAAAGGACAGACTAAGGCAATTTCTGTTCAGCTTTCAGCATTGTGAAGTGAGTAAGTGTGGTTTGTTTGGAGTTTTTTCCGGGGATACTTGTGGGTTTTAAGCTAAGTCTATAAGTACACTTATTTGCTTCGTTTTCGGATCGCGTCCCGCTTGGAATTGTGGAATTGTGATTACAATTAGTGTTTAGTAGCGAGCATCGCTAGAGTTTTGCTTTTGATATTGATTTAGAGCTTTTCGTAACGCTGAGCCGAGGTTACTTCTGCAAAAGATAAGAAAAACAAGAAAGAAAAACAAAAATGTGAAAAACATAACCATAATGGAATGGAAATAGGCATCGAAATGCATTAAATGAGAGCAACAGAACACAAGAGATAAGATAAGTTTAGCAGGCACGAAAAGAATGAAACATGCCACAGACACGAACACAAAGAGAGTTTGGTCTAAAAAGTTAAAAAAATGGATTTAAAAAACCAACCTGAGCTGTACTGAGTGTACTGCTGGTACTGCGGATGGAAGTTGTGTATAGCATCTGTCATTATATCCTTGGGATTCATCGTTTCCTGCGGGAAGAAGGAGTCTTAGATCGAAGGGAACTTAAAAGATGGTAAAAACTTACCTTAAGACTGCTGGAAATTGACTGCATTGTGACAGATCGTCCATGACCATCGCTGATGCAGCTGCGTGCGTAGACCTAAAAAAAAATGTACAAAGGTATTATTAAGAGGTGTATTATGTTTTTCTAGCCAACTCATCATTACATGTATAACTTTCAGATATCTCCCAACTAGAAAATAAACTTCACCTAATAAACACCCAAAATAACCAAGAAAAGCACTTATTCCACCACTATCTAATCACCAGAAATCGTAAATAGCTTTGTCAAATCTTGGCCCACTTCGGCATTCCGGAACTCACCTGATAGGGGAATGCATAACGTAGCGCGATGGCGGCGAACAGCATTTCGATGCAGATGAAGAAGTTCTGGTATCCGGCGGACACGGTACCAGGTTCCACGGTGACAGCGCCTGCACTGTCCACGATGGGCGAGATAACATTGGCCTTCTCCAGGATGGCCAATCCCACGCCCTGCCAGAAGGACAAGAAGATGACCGACTTGATGGTGCAGAACTTCAGGACGGGCTCGAATGGAGTTAGCAGATCACGAGTGGCAAAGTAGAACAGATAGAGGCCATATAACGCGAGAGATACGGAGATGTTGTAGATAATCGTGATATAAATGTAACCGCCATCAGCACTGCAATAGAGATAAATAGAGATATAAGTGAGAATTTTAAAGAAGTCGATGTAAGAAGCTCTACGCGATATCTACAATTTAAAGCACACACTAGCGAGCAAACGTATCTGCGATTTTGTATGCCATTATATAAGATGCAATAACTATGGTAATTAAAGATAAACCCATTACCTCCAATCACCATCGTGGTAGTGGCCAAAGGCCTGCAAAAAGATGATTATGAAGGCCACCAGCGGTTTCACCAGGCAGAACTGCAGAGTGGCCTGTTTACAGAAGCGCAGGAAGCCAATCGTGTAGGTCTTGCCCTTCAGACAACAGGTGCCATACAAACACGAGGTCTTGATGGGCTTGCCGCGAATCTCCGACATTATATTGCCCTCACCGCCCAGGTACTCATAGCACAGCGACAAGAAGTTGTAGATGACAAAGGCTAGGTAAGGAGGGGATTAACTATTAGTTGATGGTCATTAAGTCGCAAACGAGGTAGACATACCTTCGTAGCAGTCGCGCACTGTGAAGAAGTAGATGTAGACATTGTCCGAGTTGAAGAAGAGCAGACTGATCCAGGAGTAGGTGGCGTAGATGGGTACGATGAACAGGATGCGCACGATCCAGCGCTGCTCCTGCGGATTCGTGTACCAGCGCAGGTGCTGGTAGATCTGTGAAAGAAGACAGTTTCCATTAGTAAATGGGTCAGGTATATGCAAATACACAACTTACCTGTTGACAGGTGATGAACAAGGCAGCCCAAACACAAACTCCGGCGAGAACCTGGGCGGTCTTTGTCTGCAGGAAGATGCCATCGCCCACGTGGAGCAGCGGTTCCAGCGGCGTGCTCATCTGGGCGTTCTTCACCTGCACCACGAAGTTCGTCTTTCCTGTGGTCTCTAGCGATCCCAAAGTCGTAGCTGTGGCGTTGACACTGCTGGCATTAATAGCCGCCTCAATGAGACTGGCGGCGGTTGTGCTCATACTGCAATGGAATCCAAAAATGGGGAAGACGGATTAGCGTGGGTGAAACTGGGTTGGGTTCAGAAATTGTGATAGGGCCAGTTGAAATGCCCAGACCAGACAGCTAGGCAAGGCAGGCAAACTGTTTACGTACTCGTCTCGACTTTCACACGAACATTGCTCCGAAAGCGACATTCTACTCAGAGACACGAAAACAGTTTTCAGCATGGCTGTGTTGACCTTCTAGCTGAATTATAGTCAGAACTGATTTAGACTGAACACATTTATGGTTTAAATTTTTAAAGTTAATACATTTTTTTTTTGATGACGAGTATTTAGAGAGAAGCAAAACCGTGTCTGGATAAACATGATTTTTTAATCACACTTGGGTTGCATACTTGCAATCTCATATCCCGCTTGTATAATTTGAAAGCAACACGTTCGCAGAAATAAGTAAATCAGTCATGTGCAGAGGTTGAATAATAGTGTATGAAAAGTTATAGCTAAAAATATGCATAAATAGTTGTTAATAAAATGATTATTCAATAAATACAATTATAGGCTTTGATTGCGATATGAAAATAACTTGTTTGGGGATATGCAGTTTTGTTTTCTTATACAATATCACCCCAATTACAATATCTCTCAGAACATTTGTTAGCTTCACATATTTTTACACATTTAAATCGGTGATATGTTGCTCCAAAATTTCCGACAGCACTGCAACAATGTTTGGACGAATTGGGTCAGCAAAGAAACAATGTAGAAAATGTGGAGCGGCAGGAAAAACAAAAACAGAAACAAACAGAAGAGTCGGCGGTGGGTGGTGCAAAAAGAGGTGGTAGGATTTAGGAGCGGAGGGACAGAGGTGCGCGCATTAGATCATCACGCAATCCAATATTAATAATGGACTCTGGCGCTGCCAAGGAAAGTTATGGCCACCTCCACACCTTCCACCTTGTCTCAGGGTCACTTCCAACTGCTCCATATCGATTTCACCCGCCTGGTAATGCCAACCAATCAATAAACAAGTGTTAAGCAAGCAGAGTAAAGTACATTTTTATATATCTACAGACAGTGATGGTTTTATAAGGTGCATCTGGTCGGGGAGCGAGTCTATTCAACTGAAATCGCTTTTAAAATATTCTGAAAATGCTTGGGGAGCTTTTCGAGGAGATAAAGACTGCAGCGAAGTTAATTAGGCGTACAGAAATAACCCAGAGTGCATTGTAATCGGTCTGGTACAAAGAAAATGAACTAAATGTTGTGTGCAAACGGAAACATATGGAAGTTCAAGTGGACTATTGGGACACTCGGCCATTAATCCGATTAGCGTTCGAGGAAGCAGAGGGTATTAATAAAAATGTATGTTGAAAACAAATCAAAAGCTTTTGTAGAAACGAATTTATAACGCATTTTAACGAGTCGTTAAAAAAAATAAGAATTGTACAAGAATGTACTTTGCAAATGTGTATTGTTAATATGAAAAAAAACCCATGAATATGACACTGATAAGACTTGGAGTAAAACAAAAGATTCCAAAAAAAATAAAGTACATAAGTAATATACATAAAGTTAATTTAAACAAGCGAAAAATACGTATATACTCTCTTTTATTTAACTATAGTTATTGAGACCTTGGGGAGCATTTTGTTAGGAAATTCTAATGGATTCCTCGGACGAAGTGGATGAGTGCATCGGTAATTTGAAGCTGCGCAGAGACAGCGAAAGACGGAGCTTCTCCGACCAGTGGCCAACCTTCAATTCTTTCTCCTTGGAGGCAACACTCCGTTTCTTGAGTTCCTCGACCATCATAGCTGACCAGACCCTTGGTAGTAGCTTTCTTGTTAGCCGAGCAGTCTATCTTGAAACCGAAAAAGTCACGTGAACTAATTCGAAACTCTATATTCTTAATGGGGTCATGTAACTGATCAAAGAAACATATCAAAATTTCTTTAATTACAATGCAAGTGCATCCTTAAATTTATTTTTGCTATAGAAAGGCAAAGAAATATTTTGGGAGTGGTTTAACGAAGAATTTCCATTGGTAAACTCTAATCGGATATCTAACAACCTGTAATGTGACTCAAAAACAAAAAGGGTGTAACTACAAATGAGAAGCTATTTAAGTTTCAATTATTTTCAATTTGTTTTGTTAGAAACGTTTTTTAATAACTAAAGTTCTTATATATGTTCAGCGAAATATGGTAGATTTAATATAGGAAATACAATATTAAACTTACTAAAATATTATATTAATTGAATTAAAGAACAATAATAGGCCCATAGGCCAAATTTTAAAATATATCATGAATATGACATGGGTTTCCCATTAGTCGAATGAAAATCACTCCAGTCCAGAGATAACAAATGAGTCACGAACTCGTGCAAAAGTTAACAATACTCGTATTGTTGAACCCGATTTTGTGAGCTGCTTTCGGCCAACCAAAACGCAAAAGCGTTAAATGTTAAACGATTGAATTTGCGTTCGAATTCAGCGACACTGAAACCCAGAAGTAAATTTTTAAAAGAAGAAGAGGTCGCAAAAAGATACACAATCAGCTGCACAAAGAAGAAGCAACAACAAGTTGCTGCTGGCGGAGATACACAGAAATTGGCCAAGCAAAAGTCTCCACGCGAAGAGTCTCCAAAAGTGGCGAAAGACGAGTAAAAGCCATATTGCGATGAATGGAAGGGGCTGGGAAGTTGCTAATCATGGAGGGAGTAGGTGGTAAAAAACTTTTGTGGGGCTTCAGCGGGTTAATTAAATTTCAAGCTCAAAAAATATGGATTGAAAATAACATATGCGAAGACGACCTTTTGGAGAGTGGAGAGGGAAGAAGACTGGAATCTTATCGTTTTCCCTCCCACTTCCACACCCACTCACATTCACACCTTGCTTATCAATGCAAAAAATACATGTATATCGTTAATAAAAACAGACAACACACACGTAAATACATTAAACACGCTCACTAATTTCGTCATCGAATCGGGTAATTCACAACTTGCTATTTCAGGGAAAACAACTTTTACACAAACACACGCACAGTCCCAATAATTCCATTTTAATTGAGACGCTAATTACCTTTTTTCAAATGCAACTCTCCACGCTTTCGAGCGTTTTCACAGTTGCAAATTTCGTTTAATTTCGCTGTTCCCGTTTAATTTTCAATTATTAGTTTTTCTTTCGACTTTTTTCACCTGACGCCAGTCGCGTCGCCTACTGACGTCGTCGCCTTTATCGGGGCCAAAAGAGCGGCCTAAATCGGTTAGCTATGCCCGCGAACGCACACAATGTGTTGGCCAATGTTTGGGCCCAATTCCTGGATTTATTTTTGCCGATAGTGGGTGTGAAAACAGCGAAGGAAAGCGGAGCAAAATAAATGAAAATTACGCACGATTTGTGTCGGTGTGTGACCTAACTACACTGAGCGCGGAAATATGCATGCCAATACACAAAAAATACCAAAACATATGTTTTGCGGTATGTGCGGGGGTGTGAACACTTGGTATTTTCGTCTGGGGTTCGTAAATTAAATACAACTTAAGTTCACACTGCACTGCATTTTCGTTGGCGCAAGCAATAGTCGTTTTCCACTGGCACATTGAATTGCAATGATCAATTTTTCAAAAAATGTATGTATCTAGTGAGTATGTGAATAGAATCACTCATAAAAAAATTTAAAATAATTTTTGAAAAACTTAATTTAAGTCGAAGTCTACACTGCATTTGACTGAAAAAACTTCCTAGATTTTTCGTTTTAAAAATAATATAGAAAAAAGAGTCGGGTGTTTTTTTGTTTTAAGATATTTATTATTTTGCAATCTTATAGTTCTTGAGATTATGACGTTTAATAATTAAGTCCGTTGAGTTCTTATCTATTTGTGCACGAAATATTTATACCCTTTTTTTGAGTATAAAAACACGCATCCGGTTAATATGAGGACCCCTTTTAAAGGATATGTTATTAATGTTTTGACATTGTGTCCGGCTCAACCATATCTTCTGGTTGAGCGACGTCCATTTTTCTTAACATTTTTAAATTTGTGCATTTATATTGATAATATATTATAATCCATTTATGAATACAAGAATATTAGGTCGATAAAATATTCTTGCTAAGAAATTGTAAAACATACGTCTTTTGGTGGTTTTACCCAAGTACAAAGTATCGGGAAAAATAAAAGTGGACCAGGTAAAGATTCTTCGCCGAAAACGGTTATCAATATGGCTTTACTTACCATAAATTTACCTTACAAAATTGTAAAACAGATTTTTTGATGACAAAAGAAAGGGTCAAATTGAATATAGTTTCAGGGATCCCCCTATAGTTTTAGGCATAGTGTGCCCAGTGGCCGTCGAATTGTGGTTTTTTACAGCTGCTGGGCCACAGCCACACTAATCAGGTCCGCCATGTTGTTTTTTGTCACTGTCACCAATACAAGAGCAGAAATTACAACACAACATTTAAATTTGTGTTGCTCCAGGAAAATCATAATTTTCAGCCCGATCAACTGCAGAAATTGTCAAAATAAATATATAGAGTTTGAGCCAAAACGAACCTATCTGTCTTTGTGCATTGGTGGTCCAGAATAAGTTGCGTTTTGTATGGTTTTCGTGGTGAGTAAAAGTTCATTGAATAAATTCAGTATTCGTACCTAGAACAGCGACGCCCCCTCCGCCTCTCCTCGCCGTTCGTTTCGCTTCCTCTTCTGGAGATGCTGCAACAACTGCGAGGCAGCAACAACAACAACGACAAGCGAGAGGAGCGTGCAATGCAAATAAAAGAAAGAAAACGTCTAAAAACAGTGAAATTTAGTTAAAACAAATCGTCAAAAGTGTGTGAATTAGTATCGATTAGTGCCAACCGCTTCGCTGGTTCCCATTTTGTGCTCTGCTTTGCTCAATTCGATACGATTTTCAATTTTATTCATGAAAACAATGAGGTACAGTTTAGCATGGCTTCTGATAGTAGAATTGTTCTAGATTCCATTTCTAGATTAGTGAATATTATGTAGAAATAATATTCCCGCGAAGAAATTGTGAAACAACAGTTTTTCGGTTGGTTTACCCAAGTGTACAGCTCCGGGCAAAAAAGTAGTAGTAAATTTTAAATTTGTAAGCTGACAAGTATCAATCAAATTCTTATACAAACTAATAAATTGATAGTTGATATATCTAAATCCAAGAAAAATATGTATTTATATACAACAAAAATACCTTTTATTCGGCCGGTATATTTCAGCCGAATTATAGACTATATGAAACATTTTAACAGGATAGCCTAAGAATTGAGAACTAGCTAGTCTGTCTACAAATCCTCTTCTGATGCTTTAATTCTCTAAATAATCTCTATAGATTCTTTATAACTGCGTTGCAAACAACTGGCCAATATTATATTACTATATGTATATTTATTTAATTTAAATTTAATGATTTTTCCTAAATAATAAAATATGTATCCGTCTGAAAGCCACGCTAGCAACCATGGTAACACAATTTAGGGGATAAAAAGAACAGCTTAATTGTATGCTGTCATGACAATATCTTCATTTCTTTTCTTAGTGTTGTTTACTACTAAATAGTCTTATAAACAATTTGATCCAAAATTATATCATATCATATTATTATTATAAGAGATATACATTTTTTTGATCTTTAAAATATTTTATTCCTAAATTATGAATTGTTCTTTGACAATGCCATTAAGTGATTACAGACTTTTGTTATATATTTTAAATTCTGTTATTTTAAAATGACACAGTAATGCTTATTTCGATCAACAATTTGGATTACGATCATCCTCTGAGAACTATTATTTTGACCGCATGTCTAGTTTTAAGTTCTCAGTACTTTAGGCCACGCGATCGCAGCGTGTTGGGACGATTTGGGCCGCCGCCAAAAATGCCGGTGCGGAAGTTCGGTTGCTGCTGGGAATTGGCCACGAGGCCGGGTTGTCCGGGAATCGGTCCCGGAGTGCTGCTGGGGGCCCGACTGATGCCCAGGCCGTTGTTGCGCAACCTGGGCGCCACATAGGGACGCTGGCTGGTGGAGATTCCGCCCGATCCTAGAGGCGGCAGGATACCTCCGTTCGGAGGAGTCACTATCTGAGGTTGCTGTGGCTGGGGCTGCTGCTGCAGCGGAGGATTCACATTGCCCTGCGGCTGCTGTTTCACAATGGGCGGCACTATAGAGTTCACGGAGGAGTAATTGGGAGGCCCCTGCTGCTGAACCGGAGGTTGCACCGTTATCGGCGGAATCTGCGTCTTCTTCGTGAGCGCTGGAGCCAGGTACGGATGATTGCCTCCGCCAGTGCCACTGCTGTTGCTCTGCGGGATGTCGTAGGTACGGCCCGAAGGCGTGGTCACCTGGATACTGCCGCCCGGTGGTACGCCGCAGGGCTTGGAGTAATCGTAGCCATTGGGCATCGCCTGGACATAGTTGTCGAAGTACTGGCTCACCTGGTGCATGGGCGTGGAGTAGTTAACCGCGATCAGGGACTCCTTGGTGCGGATACCGGAGCGGGCCTGTGCCGCCTGGAGGCGCAGTATATTGGCCTGCTTGATGTGCGGCAACAGCTCGGCATCGCCCTTGATCTTCTCGACCACAGCCTCGTCGCTATCGATGTTGCTACTGGGGCTAATCCCTCCCTCGCTCTGCTCACTGGCAGCTGGCTTCTTGGTTGTGGTCTCCTCCGCCGGCTTTTCTATCTCCTTTGCCACATTTTCCTCCTGGCTGGGCGCCGCCTTCTGTTTCTTCTCCCCCTCTGGCTTCTTCCGATTAACAAACTCGAATAGGTCATCTATGTCGGGCACATCGGGCAGAGCCCCGTATGAGTCAAAGTTATCCCGGAATGCAGTCGCCCACTCCTCGCTCTTGTGCAGAGTTGGATCGATGACGAGCTTCGGCTGCTGCCTGTGTTTGCCGGCGGGCGCTCCCAACGCCGCAGCTTCTTCAGGCCCAGAAATGCCGCCCACATTCTTGATCACCGTGATGGTCTTCACGCGGGTCCCCTCCTTGGAGTCGATGTTGGTGGCAGCGTAGCTCAGGCTGAGATCTCGCTTGGCCGGCTGCGGCTCCACGATCACTTCGGCAGGCTTTTCCGGGTACTTGATGCTGATTATCGTTGTCCCGTGCACTCCCACCAGCAGCAGCAGGCCCAAGGCGGCCATAATATAAATGCGGGTAATCTGGAATTTTCATCTTTTTATTATCTTTGTTTTTTTTTTACTTCGTTTTATGGTTTCCGCATCAATTTATGGGTTAGTAAGGCCCCTGAGTAATTCCCTAAATTCATAACTCAATATAATCTTTCTATAAGTAGGAAATTCTTTTTTTTTCTATATATTGTTTTTGATAAATAAGTATACTTTCTTGAATTATTTGACCTTAAATTTTACGAACTGAAAGTTTCTTTAAGTCCAGAGTAGTTATTGATTATATATCTCGAAGTTATGTATTATAAATCGTGGCCCTAAGTCTTCCAAAAATTAAGAAATCAATCTTAAAAACGTCCTTTACGGTCTATTATAGTTTTTTTTTTTTTGCTAATGGGATAGGTAATTACTTTACATAATTTACATCCCTATTAATGGCTTTTGGGTTTTATTTTACAGTTTGTTGGTTGGGTAAATTTATTTAAATAATTACAGCATTATTTAAAGACTTATTGTGCGAAAAATTTAATGAAATGATTTCATATTTTATATTTGTTTAATTGATTCGCTCTTGATGTTGGTAAGGTTATCAAGCGATTCGTAATTTTATTTTGTATTTAAACGAAAAGAATTAATCCAAGGAAATAATCCAGATCTAAATTTTGTATTGCAGTGGTGGTGTATATGTCAAACTTGCGTTTATCTATGTAATACAAGAGTAGTTTGGAATCTCTATACATAAACCAATCAGTGTTTATAAAGATTAAGAGCCCTATTTATACTGGATGAAATTACAAATACAATTCATTAATCATGGATAAGTAAATGCTGATGATCGTTTAGTTGAAGTAAAGATCCGATAAGAAGTCCAACTGTAAGTTGCTCTTGAAAATTGAATATATGTTTTTAGAAACCAGATACGATTGCTTGACCCACAAGTTGGGCAATGGATAACCTCGAAATGGTAAAACACTGCAGGATCAAGCTTAGGTCACAGTTCATGGCACACTTTTAAGGGTAATCCTAGGCATATCGATCACTCACTGTCGAGTTTTTCATTGCTTTATTCCTCCGCACATGCGATCGATCAATCAATTGATACGATCGTTTAGCGATGACGTGATGATGGCGATAATTGCGTTGAGGATCGATGACGTCCGACTGCGGCGGAGACGGTAACGCGGTCAATTCGGTTTTCTTACTGCCGGTCCGAGATGCCAACAATGCTTTTTATATAGCCAGGCGGAAGGAGTTTCGGTTTGGGTTTCCTGTAGCTCCACGGCTCTGGATATCTAATGTCTTTGACACCGAGACACAAACAAACCGACAGCAAACCAATCGCATTAGCTCAAAGCACAAAAGTAGCAGCTCCGTTTGAATTAAAGCTGCATAATCGCTTTCCCATTACGTCCAAAACGATCAACGGGTTTTCTCCAGCTACTTCTGTTTTGGGAAAGCAGTTGTCGATCCTCCCGCAGTCCCGATCCGTCGATCCCTCATCCTCCAGTGGACACAGAGTCGCCTCGTCGGCACTTAATTGAGTGCGACTAATGAGGAAATCGAAGCGGACTAATGATCATAGTGCATGTGTAACTGTGGGAACACCAGTGGGTGGCTGCTAGCTACACCTTTAGTAGGGATAAGCTATGCTCCTTAATGCCTCTTTGTCTTGGGTAAGATCATGTGCGAAGGTTACCAGCTTTCCGGGTAAGTGATACCTCATTTACACCTTAATTTTGATTAAGAGCCAAGGAGAGCTCTCCACTGGCTGCAAACTGGTCCCCTTACGCAATACCGAAACAGACACTAGACTTGCCTAGACCCAAAAATTGTCATGAGAAACTGCCATGCGAATCCATGAAGTGTAGTGCCTAATGTGTGTGCAATCGAGCGATCAACTCGAGATAAAATCAGGAGCAGAGCGCAGCTTGTGGGAAATCCCAAGGAAACGGGCTTAACAAATAGTTTATATCGGAAATACAGAATTGAAACATAGCGTGTGAAGATGAATGATAAACTGGTTAAAGACGTTAGTATGTAAGGATATCAAATCGTTGGTTTCTGGAAACAGTGTGAAAATAGTAGTGAGATGTGGGTCTCATACTGATTTGTTGAAAATGGAGGCATGTATCGATGGCCTAACGTTAGACATCCAAGGAGCACGAATTGATATTAGCTGTTAAGAAAAATAATAAACGATGACATATGTTTGGTAACGTAAAACTAAAATACTTGCAAAACTTAAATTCTTATTTCGAAAAAAAGTTTAATTTATAAGGAACCCTAAGTTTGATTTGAAGTTTTAACAGACTTCGAATTAACGAAGGCATGGCTACGAAAGTGTGTTTGCGATGGCCAAATATAATATCTTTTTTCATGGTTTTATGTATCACTTGTTTTAAAACTATACCTCAAAACATACGATTCATTCCTGATCTTTAATTAATTTAAGACATTCGTTTTTGTTGGCAAATTTTCCATAAGTCTGCGATTATCGTTACAGATCTAAGAACTCACGGACAACCATATCATCTGTATCCAGGGCGATGGACATCTGATGTCCAACTGAAGAATCTGCGATCAGTCCGAGGAAGCGCAGCGCCAGTGAGAAAATTCGGCAAGCCAGACAGTAAACTCTCTGTCTGTACAAAAAAAGAAATAAATAGCTAATCAAATCAATTGATTGATCAAGATGAGTGTGATTATTCGGTTACAAAATCTGCCGTGGACGGCAAATGCTCGTGACATTCGAAACTTCTTCTCGGGCCTAGCGATTCCCGAGGGCGGTGTCCACATAATCGGCGGCGAGATGGGCGACGCTTTCATCGCTTTCAGGTAGTTAGCCACAATCTGATCTATATGTAAACCTATAGCAATTTCGGAGATCCAGCTGGTCTAGACCTGGGTCGGGGCCTGATCCTCTCCTGAGTCGCTGACGGGTTCTTTCCAAGCATGTATCCACAGCTGCGGTCAAAATAATAGCACTAAGAAAAAACAATGCAATCTTTAAGCCAATGCAAGTTGGTTTGGATATGGTTTTGTGGAGAAGACAAAAGGTAATATCAGCCCTAACATTGCGTCCTTTCAGGTATTCAATTCTACTAATATCACACCTGTGCTGGTTTTCAATATCGAGAAATTTCTTTTAGACCTATTTAAATTTTAACAGTTTTTTAAAGGAAATATTACAAAAATTAATTTAAAGAAAATATTATTGTTTAACCAAAAGTTAAAAAACAAATTAGAAAATAATACATTTAAGCCTAATCCCAGTTCACATTAAATGTGAAAGTGAGAGCCGAAACGGCGTTTATTTAGGTAATATCGTGGAAATGTATCATATGATGCGGATATATATATAGAAAAAACTATTTATTCTACGACTAAGTCAGTATAATCTCGCCCCAAAGCCAAAAAAAAAAGTTGGGAAAAAATTAGTAGTAAGTACGGCAAACTATCAGTACCCGAAGAGTATTTTCGGTAATCCTATCCAAATCGTAACATCAAATAAGAAATCGGCATCGAAACAGTAATCCTGAAGCTATAAAAATGTCAAATAGTATTTTAGCATTTTTTTTGGAGCAGTGTTTTATTTAAAAGTAACTTCGGTAATAGTGTTTCCTTTCAATCCAATTTAGTTAGACTTAAACACATTTATCGTTAGGCAAGTCCGATGTACGGATATAAATTGGTTTTCAGATAAGCCAAACTCATTATTACTGAAACTAAACCTGGATATTTCTGACTGAATTGTATATCGGTTCTTTTGGAAATTAGGTTATGGAATGACACATGGTGCTATTATTTTGACTGCATAAAATATGCTGTCTAATGACAAATGGGGGAAAATGGATCCTACCGTGTTCCCACAAAAGTGCTTGGAATAATTCCCTATTGAGTATATCCCCTGATTTTTTGCCTTTGTTTTTTTTTTCTCCCCTTCTTGACACTCATAAATAGCACCGACGAAGATGCCCGTTGCGCCATGTTGAAGGATCGCGAGAAGCTGATGGAGATCCAGGTACGCCTGCTGCTCTCCTCGCGGGCCGAGATGCAGAAGGTCATTGAGACAGCAAGGAAAGGAGCTTCCGCTCCAGCGCCAATAGCCGTACCGGTACCAATGCCAGTTGTTACCCATATGGCGGCCTCCAAGACAGGCCCAGCTACTCCCATGCCGCCGATTATCGGGGGCTTAGGCAGCTTCCTGAGCCAGGCCAAGGTCGCCACTTCAGGTGGTGTGCCCTCTTTTCTGGCCTACCAGCAGCAGGCGGGGATCACACTCTCCGAGGTCACAGGTCGCCGCAGTCGCAGTCGTTCCTCCAGTTCCGACGATAGCGACAGGGAGCGTGAGAGGGAGCGGGAACGGGAACGAGGTCGCAAACGTCGCTCCGACCGGTTTAATAATAGCCAGGAAAGAGAGCTGAAGATGGTTTCCAGTGGAGGTGCGCCACCATCTCCCTGGGCTCAGCCATCTCAAAATCAGCTGCCAGGTATGGGACTGGGTCTCAACGTTGGTTTGAGCCTGAATATGCCAACGGTTTTGTCTTCACCCCAGAGCTACACCACCAGTAGCACCACCAACAACGTGACCAACAACTATAATCTCGCTCCGAGTGCACCCAATGCCCAGCTGCTGGCCGCTCTACAGCAAGTGGTCAGCGGTAGTCCAGTTCAGGTGCAGCCAGCGAAGGTCGAAGGCGAGCCCATTGCCTTTGCCAGCGTGAATCCCTATGCCCAGATGTACCCGCAGCTCTTCCAGCAGCAGCAGATGTTGCTCCAGCAGCAGCAGACTCCGGCCAAATTATCGCCATCCATGTCCAGTTCTCCGGGAGGAGGCAACACTCCTGTGGCCATAGCAGACACCTGCTACATTCGGATAAGTGGCATGTTGCAGAGTACCTCGTACAGCGACATCCGCAAGTACTTCCAGGGCTTGTACATTCCGCACAATGGCATCAAGATCATGACCTCAAATGGCAGTCGCACGGGAGTGGCCTACGTGGAGTTCTCCCGAGTGTCTAGTGCCCAGAAAGCAGTGCAGCGGAACAATACAATGTTAAAGGATCAATTGATCCAGATTGTACCTGTCGGCGATGAAGAATTCGAGCGGGCGGAGGAGCTTGCTAATCGTCAACAAAACGAGGGGGGCAGAAATCATAACCACAATGGTGGAGATAGGAGCGAACGGGGTGGAGGAGGAGGTGGTGGAGGGGGCATGCCCAAGCCCATGCCCATACCCGTTACTAATGTTCTTCGTGTAGAGGATCTGTCGCAGCATGTCACCGAGCAGGAAATCATGAAGATGTTCTCCGCCAGCTACACCGTTGTGGACATCCTTTTGAGCCGCAGTCCCAATAATCGCCGCGAGAGTGTGGCCTTTGTCCTGTTTGCCAGGGAGTCGGAGGCAGAGTCCGCTCTGCAGGATACCAGCAAGCACTATATAGGATTTCGCCAGCTAAGGGTAAGTCCCAGCAATCAGGCGGAAATGCAGAATGCCAAGGAGAAACAGCGTAGAGCCAATGAGCAGCTGCTCAAGGAGGAAGCTGATCAGAGGGATGAGCTTTTGAAGGATCAACAAAGAAGGCAGAAGCTGCAGCAACAGGAGCAGGAAAACAACCAGGCCAGCAGGTTCGCCGCCGATCCCAGAAGGCGTCAGGCCGAGGAGCAGCAGCAGCAACACCAACAGCAGCAGCAGCAGCAGCAGATGAATATGGGCTCAAATATAAATCACAATATGAATATGAATCCCAACATGAACCATAACATGATCCCACCCTTTGTTAATGGTGGCAATATGCCCTTTAATATGCCACATCAACAACAAAACGGAGGCCACAACTTCCCGTTCAACATGAATAACAATTTCAACATGAACGGGAATCCCAATGGCAATGGACCCAACTTTCCCATCGATAATGGGGGCGGAGGTGGTTTCCAGCGTCCCCGACAAGAGGATGTCTTCGTGCGTGTCCACAACTGCGAGTATGCCACCAGGGTCAATGATCTGGGTGAACTCTTCTCCCTTGAGAACCTACGTATCGAGCACATCGAGCAGCTTTTTAATGATCGTAACCAGAGCTCTGGAGAATTTATTGTGGAGTTCTGTGATCCTGCCAGTTGCAAGCAGGCCATTAGGGAGTTCCACAATCGCCGCTTTAGAGGAAGGGGACTGCGAGTGGTTGCAATCACACCCCAAGAGATTGCTGATAAAATGAATAAACCGTTCATGGATTATCTGCCAGGAGGAAATGGTCCACGAAAAGTAGAAACTGGAAATGTGAGTGATGGCGGAAGTGGAAATGGAGGCAGTGGAAGGTCTGATGGAGGTCAGGAACCACAGCAATCTCGGCGTCGCAAGCCTAGTCGCTTCGATGACATCAGTAGTCGCAATGATTCTCCGCAGGATCAGCCACCAAAAAAGCAGGAGCGACAGCAGTCCCTGGAAAAGGAGGAGAACAGCAATGGGAGCTCCAACGCCCCCGTCAAGCAGCACTTCAATCCATTTGCACGACCGGATCCCGCCCTGAGCAGCAGCTCCCTCTCGCCCAGCAATCAGAGCCAAAGCAAACAAACCTCACCAGCGCCCGTTACCACTTCCCTAATCCCGGACAAGTTCAATCGCCCGGGATGCGTGGTAGCCATGCGAAATGTTCCGTACAAGGCGGAGCTAAAGGATATCCTGCGTTTCTTTAGCGACTACAAGCTAAGTCCGGATGACGTCATACGGCGCTTCAATGATGAAGGGCAACCAACGGGGGACACCCGTGTGGCTTTCGAATCCCCTGCTGAGGCACTATCCGCATTCGAATCGTGCCGCAGGAAGCAGATATTCAATCGCACCGTTTTCCTGGATATTGTAAGGGCTATCAATCCTCGACTGTTTGACCATAGCTAGTAGTGTTTATTGTAAATAAGTAATATTAAGACTAACACCAAACATATGCAGCAGATAAGGCATGGACAGTTTAGAGAAGTTCCAAGCTTCTAAGTTTTTTCACTTTGAATGTACATAGACTTGTTTGAATAAATTTTAAAAAACATATATATTATTATATTTTATTCAACAATTTTTTTCGGAGAATGATTTGCCAATGGCTCAATGTGGAGCGTGTTTTCGAAAGTCCTGGCAACGCCGCAGATTAATTTTATTATTTTAAGAAACTCCTTTTTATTTGATTTAAATTTAAAAACATTATTTTGTAGCATTACAAAACCACAACAACAAAAATTTGTTGACATTGTTATAAAACTACTAAATTATTTGCATAATCTTACGATCCATATTTACATTAAGTGTAGCTACAAATATACCAAAATAAACGAATTAAAATAAAAATCCCTTGCCAATTAATATTATTTTTTAGTTATATATATTTACTTTATAAAATACTCTCCATAATAGATATAAAAAGGATATAAAAATCAGTGGCAAGTCTTAATCCAATCTTAGGCATAGTTTTGAAGTGGTATCACTTGTGACTTTTTTAGTGACTCCCGGCATAAGGGGCACTCATCTCGCTCCTCCAGCCACTCGAGTAGGCAGCTCCAGCAGAAGATGTGCCCGCAAGGAGTCAGACTGCTATTGAAACGTGGCTCCAGACAAAGGATGCATTGTGGAGCATCCGGATCTTCGCCCTTTACACTCGATCCTCGTTGCAGGAATTTTTTTCCGACCTGCTTGATCTCTTCCAACTGTCGGCGCTTGTGCTCTCGCCAGGCGTCCCAGCCACTAATAGCTAACGAAACGCTGACCTGGAGAAATGTGATCACTCCCAGAATCTTGTAGCCGTACAGCGAGAATTCCGGCTGTAGCCAATGGCGGATGAGCACGTAGTTAATGCGTGTGGTGCGCTTGGACAGCTGATACTTGCTGGCTTCCAAATAGAAGAGCGACTTGTGCAGGGCTTTTACATAGCTGGGCGAATGCCTTAACCGTTGGATAACCTTTTTAAGCTGCGGTTTGGCCTCGGGGCGGATTTCCTCGTGGTTTTCCACGTAGATATCCAATTTTTGCAGCAGGTGCTGGAACAAGGAGTCGCCACCAAACTCTAGGACAATAGATATGAGTTGCAGCTAGAAGCAAGTTTAAATCTTGGCTTTATTTATGATACATGTATATTTATGATATTTCTATGCTCACCAATCTACTCGGAATCTGCTTGTAGTTGCCATCAACTTGTATGATCCCCGTATACTCCTCGCCGAGTGTCTGGAGGCTGTTGGCCGATGCAAATCCGTGGTAGCTGAGTTCCGCCAGCAGCCTGCACATCTGGTTGTACTTTATCCAGTTCCTTGGACCGGTGAGCCGCAGAACGTCAGAGAAATCCTCGGCCAGCTCGTTGGTGTACCGTGCATCTTTCTGAACGGATCGAACGATCTCCGGCTGCCGGGCACGGGCATTTCGAAAATCCATGTTGATGGGGTTATTACTTTAACATATTTTATTCAAAGGCTGATCAAAGTGCGGCCAAGATAACAAAATCAGCTGTTTCTTCTTATAGAGGTGGAATAACAATAATGTACTGTTCAACATTAGATTTCAGAGATGAAACTATCGCTTAATAGCAAATAAAAATAAACTTTAGTTTCCGAAATTTATAATATGTACTATTCAAGAAGCTTTATTTAATATTTTCTTTAGTGTATGAAACCTTGCTACACCGCTATATCATAGGTTTTTCTATCAAAATTGCTTGTATTCATTTTCAAAACAATTGCCCATGCGATAGTTGCAATTACCCTCGCCTCACGACCTCCTGAAAGTACTCCTCTAGCTCTCTGCTTTCCACCTTTCAACACTAACAGTCAGCCATTTTGCATAGGGCATCGCGGATGCTTTTTCTCCCTGACCAAAGGATATTTGGTTTTTCTATCAAATTTTATTAATTTCGAGACGTCAAATCGAAACCCCCCAATAGCGGATACCAAGTACCGGCAGCGTGAGTGCAATTGGCAAGTGGAAATTGTCGGAAAGAGCCAGTTTAAGACCCCGAGAAAAGCAGTCAGCGCAGACGTCACACCTTTTCAGACACCAATACGAAAGCACCGCTACTAATACTAATATTACTACTACCGACGCATAGAGTAACACAACAACAACAAAATTAGTGCTAGAAAAGTGAAGAAGTATAAACGATCCACAAGTCAAAAGTACTTATTTAGTACTTTCGCCTCGCCTTGAGTTACCTGCATTTTCTAGCGAAAGCCGCATAGAATTTTTGGAAATATTACGCAAGTACTATTTCTAGTCGTACCCGTTGGATAATCATGGCTCAGTAAACATGAATCCGCAACGAGAATACTCTGCTCAACGCACTCCGTGTGGAGACCAGGCCAAGACGCAATTAGCTGCCTATTGGCAGCTGCCCAGCACCTATACTATTAGTACTCCCCATTACCCCAACTGCGCCCACAATAACAACAGCGATGGACAGCAACAACAGCAGCAGCAAGAAGCAGCCTCAATCCTCTCATCATGGCAAATCCTCGTCTGGTGAATCGCAAAGGAAGTCCAGTGGTGGGTCATCTAAATGTACTGCAATTATACTGTTTGCCCAGTCTTTTATCCAGATCTACAAATGGTTAACTTGTTAAAAAAGGTTTACAGTATCCACTCATTTGTACATCATACAACTGAGGTGTAGTTATCTGAATTTTTTTAACCTACTTATTTTTTATGAATTGACCGCATATTCAATTTCATTTTAATTAAAGGTCTTGGATCGAATTACATTAAAACAATTTATTTTGTCAATACTTTTACTACTAAGAATTATCCAAGTTAAGAATCCTTGATTTACACATTTTTTGGCTTGAAAAAAACAATTGTGTTCAAAATTAACGTAAATTTTAACCATTTGGAAGTCTAGGGATCTGCAGTTAATGGGAACGATCGGTGTACACCTCCAATACTTCCTCCAGTTTTCTTATTTTACTCATTCTACTTTCCCCTTGCAGAAGTACATGCCAATAGCAACAAACAGCGGAACAGCCGCCGCCGGGAGCAGCTTCCCACCCCACGTAACGATCAGCAGCAGCAGCAGCGCAGTGCCAGGCAGCAGCAGCAACAACAGCCACAGCAGCCTCCCAAGCTACGTCCAAATGTGGACAAGCGGCCAAGAGCCCGCGGGGGCGGCGGGGCATATGATTTCCCTGCATCCCGCGGCGAAGGCGGGACTTCAGGCAGCGCCCGACTAGACTACCCTGGCGCTGGCTACCCTCGTAGCGGTGAATTTGAACATGAACTTAATTCTGTGTACGCACAGGGAAGTAAGAAACAGAACCTGAACCATCTGCTCAACTTCCACTGCGTGCCGAGGGAACTGCAGCGAGGCCATCACCATCAGCACCAGCAGCACCACGGCCTGGGAATCAGGAAGCAACGATACAACAAAGAGCAGTTCCTGCAGGCCAACTTCCAATTCGTCATTCGATCGGGGGCTAAGGCCCAGGTGAATGGTTCGCCGGATGCTCTAATCGATTGGAGCTACATTGAGCAGATCAATATCCAGACCACGGAGGAATTACAGTGTCCCATTTGCTTGTATCCCCCGGTGGCTGCCAAGCTCACTAGATGCGGTCACGCCTACTGTTGGCCCTGCCTGTTGCACTACCTCTCTCTGAGCGACAAGACTTGGCGCAAGTGTCCTATCTGCTATGATGCTATTCACGCGGGAGATCTGAAAAGCTGCACCATCGAGCAGCGGCGGGATTTGCAAGTGGGCGAGAGGATTACGTTCCAGTTGATGCGCCGTCGCAAGGGCTCAATGTACATCGAAAAGCATGCTTCCGGATTAGGAGAAACCATTGAACGTTTCCCATTCGTAACTGCTTTAGAAGAGGCTAAACGATATTCCAAGTTTCTCATAGCCAAGCGGTCTGACGTGGGAGCCATCATCGAGAGGGAACGTGGCGAACTGCTAGCCGAATCGGATGACTCCTGTCCGGAGGATGTCTTTATCCAGCAGGCACTTGTGATGCTTCAGGAGCGTCGTGAAAAGCTAGGACTCGAACAACCCGATCCCAGAGAGGAGGAGGAACAACCAACTGTACTTTGCCTAGAGGATGAAATCAAGAATGATATTGAGAAGCCAGACGATGCCTCCATTTCATCGGGAGAGGCATCCAGCAGCCTGAGCTGCTCCTCAAACAACCACCATAAGTACTATTATTTCTACCAGTCCAATGACGGACAAAACATCTACTTGCATCCTCTGAATGTGAAGATGCTGCAAGCGTGCTATGGAACCTTGGATTTAGGACCACTACTGATTGAAGCACAGATTGTTCAGATGGAGCAGCACTCCATGGACGAAGAGCATCGTCGCAAGTTCACCTGTCTTGGTCATTTGCCTTTGACTTGTCAGTTTTCGGTTGTGGAAGTCGAACTTCAACCGCCAATTGTCTCTGGAGGAATACTCAAGCTTTTTAAAGGTGAGTCCACATTAGATAATTTAGCTAATTAACTAAGTAATACATTATTTCTGTAGAGGATATACTTCACCGTAAGAAGGAGCGTCAGCGTCGGGCTGTCGAGGAGCGCAAAAGAGAGCAACACATCAACGAGATCAATGACCGCCAGATGGGCAAACTGATTGCTAGTGCAGCTAACCTCAACCTAAGTTCATCTCATGAATTTCCCACTGTGAGTTTTCCTTGTTACTATATGTTTCTAATTAATGAAGTCTAAAATCCTCTCTAAAGTTCGGCTTTGAAGAGACTTTGCCCACACCCAGTGGATCTGTGCCCATGACCATTACCCACCAGAACAGTGGCCCACGCTACTCTAGTGTCACTCTGGCCAGTGCCAGTCCCAAGCAGGAGTTGTGGCCCACTATTGGAAGTGGGTCTCCTGGCAGTACTGCTGCATCATTGGATTTCCAGGCGGGCGCCTGGGGACGCTCGGCTCCACCACCACCTCCGTCTGTATTGACCTCTAAAACCAGTGATGAAGATTTTGAGCAACGATCTTTGGGCCACTGGGGTCTAGGTGAACTTTTGGTGGGAGCATTGGATCAGAAAAAACAAAAGGTAGAAGCAGGAAAAGCCAATGGAGCTGTACCTGCGGAATCCAAGAAGCAGAAAAAAACCAAGGGCAAAAAAATGGTTCCCTTGTTCGCCATGGGCATGAACAGAGCTCCATGAAGGAGTAGTGGATCACTTATCAAGTTTACAAGATTTATTGTATTTTTTGGTTGATGAGAATATTTCAACGTTATTTCAAATAACAAAAATACTATTGTTTTTTCATTGTAGAAGATTTGCAAAATCATTCAGCTAATCTATAATTTAACACAACTTATATTCACATTACACATATGCATAATTAATTAATCCAATAAAGGCAGCAAGCAAAATATAAATTTAAACTGTTTCTATCGTTGTTACAATAACAAATGAAAAGTTAGCTGGAATAGTTCTGAACGTAGTTAAAATCGGTAAATGTGTGTAAAATGACATTCAAGTAACCCCTGATTCTTTTTCGCTTATATCGTTGTTTTTTTTTTTTGTAACCCCCAATGGAAGGGTAAAAATTAAGTGCCATTATTGCGCTGTTTCAACGAATTAAAAACAAATTAATTTACATTAGAAGGGATAGAAGGAGGAAAGGTTAAAGGCAAGCCAAATACGTCGTCAATCGCTGCGTCGTGTATACGGCAGATCCTCATCTTCTGCTTCCACCTCGTCGAAGGCGTTCAGAGAAGGGTTTACCTGCCCACGGCGGTTCTGGGTGGTCCTTTGTTTTCCGGAAACCACATTACCTGCCGCGTATTCTGGCGGCAGCTCCATGTACTCGTCCTCGGACTCCCCGCCTTCTATTGCATCTGGATCGTCACCGTTGATGGAGCCATTTGGACTGCCCGGCGGACTGAGGGCCTGTATGATCCTACCCTTGGACTCGTTCCACAAGTTGTTGAGCCGCTCCCTGCCGAAAAGCAGCAGGAAAGCATCGATAAACTCGCGCGACTTCTCCTCCCATTTGGTAATGATGTCCACCTTCACTTTTGTGAGCTCGCGCTTTCCCCGAGTCTTCAACTCATCCATCTTGTTCTGCAGCCGAAATTTCTTCTCGGACAGGAAGGACACGTTGAGCTCCTTGGCGGAGTAACCTCTTGCCAAGTTTCTGCGCACATATACATCGTAATCCTTGACGATCCTGGCCACAATGTCTGAGGTGGACACGCCCTCCGTGCGCTCCGTTACCACAAACATGCCCCGCGCCTTGAGAGGAGCATATATGTCATTGACTCCACCAGCTCCATAGGGAATGTCGTCGTGCGCCACAAAATCTATTTTGTGCTCATTCAGAAATTCTTCATTCAACGACCAGGGAGCATTTGGGACTATCTGTATTCAAAAATTTGAAGGTCCAAATAATTAGCTAATTATCAATAAATATTTAAAATTGTAATATACTTTTATCGAAAGATTGGTTTTCCTTTATACTTCCCGACCACTTACCTCATCCACATAACGACAGTGGCGCACCGCTTCGTACCGCTCGAATCCGTTCATCACGGTGCGTCCCTTCATCCTGAGGGTCAGTTCGTCATTGCACACGCCCACTATAAGGTATACGTTGGGAAATATGTTCTTGGCCTGCATCAGCTGGCGGGCGTGACCCTGGTGGAACAGATCGTAGATGCCATCGGAATACACCCGCACCCTACGAGTAGTTTTCCCAGCCCTGGCCATCTGATAGGTGATCCTCTGCGTGTAGTCACACCTCTCCAACTCCAACATAGCCTTGTCATCGTACGAAAAAGGAGCTGGCTGGCAAATATTCTGGAAAAGATTTTTGGCGAAGGGATCAGTAATACAGATATATAAATATATAAAATATATATCTGAAGGAAAAAAACTTATAAAAATGCATATTGAAAACATGAAATGAATAATTGCAATTTTTTTATTTTTATAAATAATTTACCGTCAAAATAAATTAAGAAACAAGTTTGTAAACGCTTTTGTGGATCTGTAAAGCTATTCTTTGAAGTAGAGACTTTATGGATAAACTTACAAATTCCTCAAAATCCATAAAAAGCGGCAGCATCTTGAACTCGAGCGGAGATGTGGGCGTGCTAGGAGCCGTCGAAACAGGGGATACCTCGTCCTCCTCTGGCATTTTGTCCATTTCTTACAAAAATATATACACGGCTCTAAGTACAACACAAGTGGTCCGCTCGAGGGGCTTTCATCCGGACGACTGATTATATAAATTGAGACGGTGCCGGAATAGAACTCTAGGCCTGCTCTGTCGAGGATCGAGTCTGAGTCTCTGAGGGAGAGATGTGCGCTAAATGCGCACTAGCGACGATCAGAATAAATTGGCGGCAACTGGTGGCGAATCAATACAATTGAGTCCGGAGGCTGGTGAGGCACACGACTTGGTGGCGGTTGCTGTCTCAGGCTCGGATTCATCGCTCATCTTCAATTGCCGCAAATTGAGGCGCAAACAAATAGGAAGCGACGGGTCGCCTGACTTGGCACGGGTCCGCCTATCCGATCAGGCGATGGGCATGCATCTATATATACACCGCAGCGCCATTAAACAAATCAGTGAACCGCTTCCAGCCGGTGAATGGAAGACTAATTGCGAGGGAATGGGTGTCCAATCAAGGCGAACGGTTTCATCATCGGCGGCGGGCGCAAGAATTCCGCAATTGCCTAGGATGGTGTCTAATTCGGATGCGCAATTGCTGGGGACTACACATGCTTGGATTAAGATGCATTTATCAAATAGTTAAGTTTAGTGGCTAGTGACTTGTAAATGTACCTCCATCCAGTATTTCTGTATTTAACATAGCCATGTAATAACTATTATGACACCCAATATGGATAAAGACCCCTTTTCTTTTCTTTCGATTCAATGTTTATTTTTCAAAAAATATTTAACAAAGCATTTGCAATAATTCCGCTATTGCCAACTGTTTTTTGTTTTTTTGTATTATCCGAATGCGATTTGTTTGGTTTTTCTATATTGGTTGGTGTTCTTGTTGTTGTGTAGAGTTGTTAACTTAGTTTAATGTTATGCGAAATAATTTAATATAAATATTTCTAGATATTTTCGGCACCTCGAACTACCGTTGCCGCCGATTTCGTGCACTTTCCGCCGAGTGCCTAATACAAAATTGAGTCTTTTCTGCGTTGGTTGCTTGTCCCACACACAGCTGAATTAGCTACAGGATTTCCTCGATTCTCAAATGTGAAAATGGGAAGGTGGTGTGGAAGAAGAAGGAGGAGAACGAGTGCCAACTAAAACTAGGGATTACAGTACCACTTAGGGCTAGAGTAAATAGAAGTGGGTTCGGGGAGCCTGCGAGGCGATCCCAGGGCATCTAGAGTGTGCCGTCGAACTAGTTGCAAACAAGTCAATTTACAATAGCATCAAAACAGTAAGAGTAGAAGAAAAAGTCGGGATGTCCCGCACTAGAATCAATTGATGCGTCGCTCTTACTCCGGCTGCTCGTCCCCATCCCCGTCTAGGTCTGGTGATCGGCTCTGGAGGCTTTGATAACTTCGGCGGGCCAGCGAGGATCTCTTCTGCTTCGGTGTCTGTTTGCCGTTCAGGGAGCCGCTGCTTCCGCTGCCCTCGCTCAGCTTCTCGGCCCTTTCCAAGTACTCGTCAATAGATTCGCTATAGTCCTCGCCACCCTCCGTATCGTCCCCATTCACCGATCCCGACGGGCTGCCCGGCGGACTGAGTGCCTGCAGCAACTTGCCCTTCGACTCGTTCCACAAATGGTTCAGGTTGTCACGTCCGAACAGCAGCAGGAACGTGTCGATGAACTCGCGCGACTTCTCCTCCCACTTGGTGATGATGTTCACCTTCACCTTGCTCAGCTCTCGCTTGCCGCTCGACTTCAACTCGTCCATCTTGTTCTGCAGCCGGAACTTCTTCTCGGAAAGGAACGAAACGTTCAGTTCCTTGGCCGAGTAGCCTCTGGCCAGATTACGACGCACATACAGATCGTAATCCTTTACGATACGGGCCACAATGTCTGAGGTGGACACGCCCTCCGTTCGCTCCGTGGCCACAAACATACCGCGCGCCTTCAGCGGAGCATAGATGTCGTCCATTCCATCGGTTCCATAGGGAATGTCGTCGTGGGCCACAAAATCAATTTTGTTGTCGGCGATAAACTCTTCCGACAGCGTCCATGGGGCATTCTGGACAATCTGTAGAGCAGACAAGGATTAAGTAAGGTGATAAATCTTCTAAGTGCAGGGGGAGAACCCACCTCATCCACATAGCGACAGTGACGCACTCCTTCGTAACGCTCAAAGCCATTCATGACGGTGCGTCCCTTCATGCGATGGGTCAACTCATCGTTGCACACACCCACGATTAAGTACACGTTGGGAAAGATGTTCTTGGCCTGCATTAATTGGCGGGCATGGCCCTGGTGGAACAGATCGTAGATGCCATCGGCGTAGACCCTCACCCTACGGTTCGTTTGTCCCGAGCGGGCCATCTGGTAAGTGATCCGTTTAGTGTAGTCACATCTCTCCCGCTCCAGCATGGCCTCCTCGTCGTGGGAGAAGGGCGCCGGCTTACAAATGGTCTGAAAGAAGAAATGTTAACAATTAGTTTAATTATTCAGCTGGGCTTTTGCGTCCGTTGCCTACACAATCCATTTCGATCTTATCACTCATAGCTAATCAAACTATTTATACGTAAATATAAAATATATATCACAACTGTCAGGTTATGTAAATGGGTTACTTTGCATAAACTATAATTTGTTTGTACTTTTGTTAAAAATTTTAAACATATTTAAATCACATATATTTATTATAAAAATGAATTTCCATATAAACCTTTTTTCATACAAATCTATACAATCTAGAGATTCATTAAGTTTCAATTAAAATAGAGATTCTTACCGCAAAATCGGAGGCGCTGCTGCCATTAAAGAATTGCTGCGAGGTGGGTGCAGGGACCACCAGGGTAGCCGGTGAGGTCTGCTGCTGCTGCGGCACGTACTTGCGCTTGACGCCGCTGAGGTAATCCGACGTGAAACCAGCGGAGATGGTGGGCAGAGAGTCCTCGGCGGCTGCTGCCTCGCCTCCGTCATCGGCGTCGCTCTGTGAGATGGTGCGCGTGCTGTCCCGCAGAGTGGTGGCCGTGGTGGTGGGCTCACTGGCTCCCTCGCTGACCACCAGGGCGCTCTCCAGCTGGACATTCTTGGATTTTGATTTTCCCGCGGTCAGGCTGGGGCTATTTGTGCGCTGATCCTGGACTTCTAATCCCTTTGTGGAGGTAGAGGAGGCGGTGGACGACGGCATGGCAATGGCTGTCTCGTAGGTCCGCTTCCGGGTGGTCAATGTGGAGGCGCTGGAGCTGGGCGTGGCCGGTGGCGAAGTGTTGTTAATTGTGCTTTTGGCGAGTATCGATGAGGTGGCCATCGCAGCGAATGTTTGTGAGCGGCAGTTTTAACGATTTTGCAAAACGGAGACGCAGGAACAGAGATTCAATTGACTTTCAGCTGAAAGACATAAATTGGACAATTGGTTAGAAACATTATATTTCATTGTCTTAGAAGACTTCTTTTCTAGTTTTCCACATATTTGAAACATAGTATTTACGTAAGCTCTGCCTATGAAACTGATGATTTGATGATGCTCCACAATTAACTCTCTTAATTTTATTTTATTAATAAAAAAATATTTTTTAGTCGTAGATTTCCTAGTTACCCTTTTAATCATTCAATTCGGTTTTGATTTCTGTTTAATGAAACGGCATTATTTCACTTTAAAGAACCATTGCATTTTTATTAGACCTTTGCACACCGAAATGGTATGCACTGGCACTTGTTTACTTAATATTTTATAAATAAAATCCAATAAAGCTATAAACATCTGTATATAAACAAGAATATTTTCGAAATGATAGGCATTTGTGCATAAACAAGAACAGAATAACTTATTGCAGTTTTAAATAACTTTAGCCTTTAGAAAACTTTTGTATAATGAAATCGTTTATGATTTTTTGTATCTTTTTTATGTAATTAGATATCTCTTTTGATTAACCCCGTTATGTACATTTTTGAGTTACATATATTTGCATTATTTTTCGCTGACAACACGTGACATGAGACCCTTCTCCCCCTGCCACGCCCCCTTTGGTGTTGAACCATGGCCAAATCGATTTCATTTGAAATTGCCAAATGGATGATTTAATTTGCCACGCGCATCGAACCACAAAAGTTCCCTACAAATCGGCAGCACAAATAAAGCGCAACTGAAAAAGCCACATCGGTTGGTAAACAACAACAAGACGGTAATAATAGACACGTTGTATTCTCGGAGCAGCGCGAGATGAGAACTGAAGCAATGGGGGGCAGGGTGGGGCTGGGGATCCAACTGGGCGGCAGAACTAGTTCCGAATGGCGCTGCACTTTGTGTAAACAAGTGCAGGCGGAACACTTGAGTCGGTCGCTCCAGACACGATGACCACTTCGCCCAGCACTGGAGGCAATCCTATTATGCTCTCACAGTGGGAAAGCAAAATAAATATTTGATTAGTTAATTCATATTTTTGGTACCACGAATTTTTTCTTGGTAGCCGCTGACTCAATGACGAGTTGCGTGAAGGTCGTCTAAATTTAGTTTTTGTGCCAAAAAATATCAATATTAAGTCCAAATGATTTAACAAGATCGTCATCTCACATTCCGTGAGTCTAAGATATATATATGTACTTATTTATGTACTTGCTCATTACTATGACGACTATCAAATATATTTTCTACGTCACCACTTGGTTAGTTGAAAAGCACAAATAGGTGCGTAAATTAGAAGGTAGACTGCAAAAAGCATGAGATATTTTTTTATTTTATTTAGAATGTTAAAAATGTTGTTCTTTAAAGCCAACTAATTTTTAAACTTAGATATACGTTCAATAAAATTGTCTTATCTTCGACGAAGTCTCCCACCGTGCGGTCAGCTGTGCGGTGCGTGGTTCACATTAATTTTAGGTAGACAAACGATTTCTCATGTTTATTCATCATCATGGCACACATCTATTTATCGTTGTGGCTTACGTTTTGTCATTTTGAATACGTCAGAGATTTCTATACCTTTTAATGCCTTTTTTATCTCCAGGTCCCCTAATAGATAAGCGAAATTCAACTTGGAGACTCCAAATGAGGTGCAAAGACTTTTTTTTGAGGAAAGTATTTTTTTATGTATGTATTTAAGGTTTAGTGGAGATCTGGATCTGAGTCACTTGAATCCAGCTACGAGTTCAAGTTCAAGCGATTAAAGTCCAAAAAGAGAGTCTGTGAATAAGATCCGCTCTGCGTAAGCGTTATTTCGGAGTCGAAAAAATTGATAGCGGCTTTCTTAAGCCTACTAATTCTGTTGTCAGGCTAATTTTAAGGCAACACTTGAGTAATCTTCAGTTGCGATACGTCATAAGTGAATGTCGTACGATATTGTACAGTCATTGCTATATTTAATATAAACCTTCAAGCTCTCAAAAAATTATAGAAGTGTATTTAAGCTTTAACATATCAAATTAATATTTTTTGACGAAAAAGTTATTAAAATGCTTTAATTCTGAATAATGTTTTAATTCTGAATAATGTTTCTTTCAATAGATTTGATTTATATTTTTCTGATAATAAAACTGTATTTTTAACCTTTTATAATGAATGGCAAAACAACAACAACAATTATTTAACTTTTCCGTTTGCACTTAGAATTTTCATAATCAATGCTGTTAAGATTATGAATTGAAATGATTTAACAATATGACTTCAAGTTTGAATGAGATATTAAATCACTTCTTATCTGGATGATTTTTGGAAATGAATAATTTAGAGTTGTAGTAGTTAATTTAAAGCTTCATAAAATATGATAAATTAAACATATATAATCTCTTTTACAGGGGTTTCCATTAATGATTTGTACTTTTACACATTTATGACTAACAACCGCCTTTAGTGAAGTGAAACAAAACGTAAACAAAACACGGAGACAGTTCCGTTTCAAACTGAGTAGGTGGACGAGTGGACAAGTGTGGGACCCGTGAAATCGATTAGCAAATTACCGGCAGTAAAAGCAGGTGATAGATAAGATTCTCTACCTGCTGTTAACTTATCTGACCAAAGAACAATATTTGTGGGTGATGGGCGCTTCCGCTGCACTGAAATCGCCAGTATCGAACACGATAAATGCGGTTCGCGGAAATGAGTCGTGTTTTACTTAGGCCACAGATAAGACGAACACACGCTAAATTGTACTAAACACACAACAAACACACTCTAAGTCTCATAATCGGTAGGTCTGATCTTGCCAGCCAGGCAAAGTTCGCTATCAGCACGGGATTATTTCATTATTCTATGTGCATATACAGACTAAGGCTAACCCTGTGAGTATGTGTGAAATTACCAGAAAAACTATTTTGAAATCGCCTGATTTTGTGTTTCTCAATTAGTAGAAGATTTTCGTATTTTTCAAACCATCAAAGTTAGAACAAAGTAATAATAATAACAATTTTATACAAGGTTATTATTTGATCTTATAATTTTTTTCAATGACAACAGTTTTGTTTAATTTTATTTGTAACTGTGAACGTATGGTTAGAAATTCTTTGTCTTAAAAGCAGTCATATCGCTACGAATCATATTTGAACAAACCAAAAAACAGGTCGCTTTTTAGATTAAAGTCCGATATCTTTTCAAGAGCAAACACACATTGGTTTTAATTTTGGACTCATTTTAAAATAAAGATATCAGCATTATTTACGTGTAATTTTTGAGTTACATGTTTTATGTCAACATGAAAACCATGTGTTTAGAACTTCGGATCTTAAAACGTCGAGGTGATAAAAATAAAATTATTGTTAATACATTTGTTTTTCAGTCTATGGACCATGCTCTGTACTATGTGTATTTGCCCACTATGAAAAATGAGTAGTTTTGGCGAACGTAGTTTGGGGCTAAGCTTCTTAATATAGCTTTCTACCAGGCCAAAGAACTTCAGCGAATCTTAAGGTACAGACGAAAACGATTTTGGAGTTTGCCTTTGGGCTGGTCGTTCGTTTTTGGCCAAGAGCGAAAGGTTGAAAGTACAGTTCTCAACCGAAATCTCGTATAAGAATCACAAGTTTTATTAAAATATCCCCGCGCGTACGAGTGTTTTCGCCATTGATAAGCTGCGATCAGTGAACAATTATAGACTGAACGTGGGGTGTACGCTATTATAGGCTGTATGCAGTGATAACCTTGTGGCGTGGGCTTATCTTTAATGGACGGAATACACCGAAAAAGCAAGTTGACGTCAACTGTGATTTTGGATGCTACTTGGTACAAAAGTGAAATGTACGTGCGAGAATGCTCTGGGAATTATCATTTGTGAAATAGGAACTGTAATTTACTTATAGACACGTTTCTGGGGCACCCTAAATAAAGTTTATAGCGGTTTAGGGTTCGAAAGAGAGATAAGATTGTCTACGAATATTGCACAACCCATACCGTCTCTTTTGTGCTCGCCTACGCACAACAAAAATTTCATTGAGAAGCCGAAACAGCTGATTCTGATTGTGCGTGTGATCTCTTTAACCACGCGCACTTACTCTCTCTCTCTCTTGCACTTCCCCCTCTCTGTTGTGGTTAGTCGCTGGAAATGAGCGGCCACGCAACACAACGGTAAATAGAACTTGGGAAAGTGGAGCAGAGCACCATGACTAAGACATGCCCCATTGGAGTGACGTTGCCGCTGGGGAAATCGTACGATCGCAGGGCAAAGTACGTCCCCTAATGACGCGTCAATCGAGGTTGAGTGAAAGAATGGGGGGGCGGGAGCACCTTCAACACGAAAAATCATACGACGAGCATGACGTGGCGACGGCCAATTAATGGCGTCGTCTTGCCGGCTGCAAAGAGCAAAAAATCGATAAGAGGCAGCTGTTCGTTGCGGGGAATAAACGGAGCAGGAGAAGATGATTATGTAAACAAGCCTTGAGGAGCAAGAATCAAAAACGCACATTACAGACTAGGCAAAATATGGCCCCCGAAAAGAGAGCTTTCTCCCCATCTCTCTTTCCCTTCTCTTTTCTCTCAAACTGCTCACGTCATCCTCTCAGCAGCGTAAATATTTTCGTTTCCCAGTGACTCGCATCCGCATTGGAATATCACACAAAAATAGTTTGCACTCTCGACTTACTTTCCACTTTCTTTTAACTCGGAACGGTTCTTTCGATTATCGATTGGTGATGCCGTTTTCTACCCGCCTATAAGCGAAACTCAGTGGCTCAGCTGGAATGACGCACGCACGGAACACGGAAAAATCGTCACTTGTTAACAATTTGTTTGTTGTTCGTCGGCCACAAACACAATTTCGAATAACACGAGAGAACACCGATTAAGTTTTTAGTTTATGCGGCTAGTAGGACCTTAGCGTTAGGTCTAAAATATACTTGGCAGTGTGAACGTAGTGCCAAAACACCAGGGTTTTCGCCAGGGCTGGAAAAATATACCAAAAGTTCAAAAACTCCATGCTCTCTTATGGATTGTTTTTAAAAAACTACACAACTAAAACTACAACTCTTACCACTATTAGAAATTAATAGGCGTAAAGCCAAGCTTAATAAAAAAGGTCTATACCTTCTAGCCTAAAACCACTTAATCATTTCATATTCAGTTAAAAGTACTATAAAAAAAGATATTCTATGCGTCTAAAAATTATTTGTATTTAATCGAATTTGAGGTAATAGCAAAACCAATAATTTTTTTAGATTAATGATTTCCTATTTCATTGTAATGAAATCGGGCATTTGTCAGGGCCCTTGCCTATTAACCCTCTAGTGCCCAAATTTTCTTTTCCAAAAAAAAAATTATTTTTGGATTCATTATGTATCAAAAGTGAATGTTTGTTTTAGAAAAACTTTTACTTTTGCATGGATCGAGTTGTATAGGACTATATCCTTGGACCGCCTAGAGGCGGCTTTGGGAAGCTAGGCCAACAAAAAATTAGGTAATCAATTCTTTTGTTTACACGTTTTATTATAAATTACTTAAAGAAAGGCTCCAAAAACAAATAAAACAACAATTAAAACTAAAGTTACTTAAATTCACAAAGCTTCAAATATTTGGGTAAAAAAAGTTTGATTACTTATTTATGATGAAAATCATAGAAACAGTCTTTTTTCTGGGAAAAGCACAGGTTTATATTACATTTGCGGCAGACAATTTGAGTTTCCGATGTACAACCAGGAAGCTTACAGGTTTTTTTGTCAGCGCGTGATAAAAACATTGGAAAATGCTCGACTTTATCATAGCGTACATCATTAATCGGAAGGAAAGTTTTCTTCCCTGTGCATTTATTTTCCTTTCCATCAACTTGTCGCGGGCGCCCGGGTCCTTTTGGCAGATAAGGAGTTTGTAGCATGCAAAGCACATTTGCAACCTCTGAACGGAAGTTTGGCAATTGGTATTTTGTGTTATTAGCGTCCGGATGGTTTTTTCGGTGGAACAAAACTTTCTCAATCGCTTCTTCATCTTCCTCATTGACAGGACGCGCTGCCTCGCAAACATCATCAGTCAAATCTTCCTCCAATTCTTCTTCTCCGCCCGTATCAATGTCAATATCAATTGAATTTAAAAATTTTTCAATCTCCACGTCGGAAAGAGCTGATAGCTTATTCACTTGTCGTCGCTCCATGTCTACTGAAGCAATTATTTGTGCAACCTCTGAACGGAAGTTTGGCAATTGGTATTTTGTGTTATTAGCGTCCGGATGGTTTTTTCGGTGGAACAAAACTTTCTCAATCGCTTCTTCATCTTCCTCATTGACAGGACGCGCTGCCTCGCAAACATCATCAGTCAAATCTTCCTCCAATTCTTCTTCTCCGCCCGTATCAATGTCAATATCAATTGAATTTAAAAATTTTTCAATCTCCACGTCGGAAAGAGCTGATAGCTTATTCACTTGTCGTCGCTCCATGTCTACTGAAGCAATTATTTGTGCAACCTCTGAACGGAAGTTTGGCAATTGGTATTTTGTGTTATTAGCGTCCGGATGGTTTTTTCGGTGGAACAAAACTTTCTCAATCGCTTCTTCATCTTCCTCATTGACAGGACGCGCTGCCTCGCAAACATCATCAGTCAAATCTTCCTCCAATTCTTCTTCTCCGCCCGTATCAATGTCAATATCAATTGAATTTAAAAATTTTTCAATCTCCACGTCGGAAAGAGCTGATAGCTTATTCACTTGTCGTCGCTCCATGTCTACTGAAGCAATTATTTGTACTTAAATATGTCATAGGTTGTTCTACTTTCAAACTTACCTTATAATTTTTTTTTCCCGAATTGTCCCAAGACCGCCTCTAGACGGGATACCTTATAAAAGCTATAGAAAGCTAACGAAATCTTATTTTTAGTGTGGGTTTCGTTTTTTGAGTCCTTGAGACTATCAGCAACACGGTACAATTTTTTTTTCCAGCAACAAACTTTTTATAATATTTTAAAAAAATATTTATATTTTGCACTTAATTTGCAAATAATTATTTCGTCCGAGTTGCACAAATTTTCTGCTTCAAATGACTACAGCAGCTTGCGCAAGCTCTAGTATGTATTCCAAACGCAACGAACTTAATTTTTGGACTTCCCCGAATTAGAAAAAACGCAAAACCGAGTCAAAAGGAATGAAAAGACTAAAATAACGGTGTTTTTAACCTTACCCGTCTGGAGGCGGTCTTGGGCACTAGAGGGTTAATCCCAAAATATGCATTAATTTGTGATATACTTCTTAAGACTTGTTGTTTGACGTGATCAATATTTTGACGCATTTGCATATTAGTTACTTTAAAGTTTTCGATGACTTGTAAAAAGGTGACCCACAATTGGATTTGTGGAGACCATAACTTTACCAAATTTAACCCTATTCCAAAGTGGCATACCTCTTAAGACTTGTGATGTGATCCCCTAAAAATTTGCATTCAAATTTGTCAATTTAGCGTTGATCAAAATTTTGACCCATTTTCATGTTAGTTATTTCTAAGTTTTCGATGTCTTAAAAAAAGGGGTCCCATAATTAGACTTCAGATTCCATAACTTTACCAAATTTAATCCGATTCCAAAGTCGCATACCTCTTACGACTCGTGTTTTAATTCTCTAAAAATCTGCATTCAAAATTGTTACTTTAACGTTGATCAAAATTTTGACCCATTTTCATGTTAGTTATTTTAAAGTTTCCGATGACTTGTAAAAAGGTGACCCAAATTTGGACTTATCAAATTTTATCCGATTTAAGAGTGGCTTACCTCTAAACACTCGTGGCTCCATTCTCCAAAAATCTGCATTCAAAATTTTCATTTTAACGTTGATCAAATTTTTGACCCATTTTCATGTTAGTTGTTCCTAAGTTTCCGATGACTTGAAATAGGTTGACTCAAACTTGGACTTGTAGAGTCCATAGCTTTATCAAATTTTATCCGATTTAAGAGTGGCTTACCTCTAAACACTCGTGGTTCCATTCTCTAAAAATCTGCATTCAAAATTTTCATTTTAACGTTGATCAAATTTTTGACCCATTTTCATGTTAGTTATTCCTAAGTTTCCGATGACTTGAAATAGGGTGACTCAAACTTGGACTTGTAGAGTCCATAGCTTTATCAAATTTTATCCGATTTAAGAGTGGCTTACCTCTAAACACTCGTGGTTCCATTCTCTAAAAATCTGCATTCAAAATTTTCATTTTAACGTTGATCAAATTTTTGACGCATTTTCATGTTAGTTATTCCTAAGTTTCCGATGACTTGAAATAGGGTGACTCAAACTTGGACTTGTAGAGTCCATAGCTTTATAAAATTTTATCCGATTTAAGAGTGGCTTACCTCTAAACACTTGTGGTTCCATTCTCTATAAATCTGCATTCAAAATTTTCATTTTAACGTTGATCAAATTTTTGACGCATTTTCATGTTAGTTATTCCTAAGTTTCCGATGACTTGAAATAGGGTGACTCAAACTTGGACTTGTAGAGTCCATAGCTTTATCAAATTTTATCCGATTTAAGAGTGACTTACCTCTAAACACTCGTGGTTCCATTCTCTATAAATCTGCATTCAAAATTTTCATTTTAACGTTGATCAAATTTTTGACGCATTTTCATGTTAGTTATTCCTAAGTTTCCTATGACTTGAAATAGGGTGACTCAAACTTGGACTTGTAGAGTCCATAGCTTTATCAAATTTTATCCGATTTAAGAGTGGCTTACCTCTAAACACTCGTGGTTCCATTCTCTAAAAATCTGCATTCAAAATGTTCATTTTAACGTTGATCAAATTTTTGACCCATTTTCATGTTATTTTTGTAACCTCCATTTTTAATTATTTGGTACCAGTTCGTAATTAAAATAACAGCCACTTTCGAGATTCATTAATGTCTTTTGCGTATTTATTGACTTTCAGTGTTATTTGCAAACATTTTTTGATAAAAAAATGTAATGTAAAAATAAAGCTTGAATATAACGTAAACACCTTTGGGTAAATCTCATTTCACTCACTCCATATATACCAATAAAGTAATATACAAAATATATTCGCCAATATTCGTTGGTCGTAATAAAAAACAAAGATTCTTTGGTAAATCAACTTAATTAAAAGCTACCGTTGAAATTGGAACTCAGGAGAATTGACTGGATTAGGTTGGGACCTTATCTACTAGCTACACACACGCGTACGTTTTACATATATGTAGATTTTTGAACAACATTTTAGAATTCTTTATAGTAAACGTCTTAATTGCACAGTAAATGTCTTTAAAATTCGATTGCGTCGATGACAAGGAATTTTGTTCAACTTTGGCTTCAATGTTCCTGGGACTGGCATAAATCCCCCTAAAACGTTCAGCATTTGACTTGGTTTCTTGGCAAGCTTTCAGGTCGAATGGCAAGTTGCTAGGCTTGGGATTAGAGTTAGAATTAAATGTTATCAGGGGCAAGTGATTTTCCGCTTCATATTAAAAGCTAACAACGAATTCGAGAGTTCCGAGATTCCTTAAGAGCATATGTATGTGAGTATTCTCTAGGTCACTGGTTGCAAATGTCCGTGGGTGAGTTGTGGTATGTGTATTGCAGTGGGAGTGAAGCATCCGCCCCTCAGCACTGGGACGGGATGCGTATACCCTGTGTGATTGAATTCTCCAGTACGATGTGGCAGTCGTCCAGCGGCTCCAGGATTTGGATAAGAAAAGTGAGAAGATTGCGGCGTCGGAGGAAACTCTCCTCCTCGTACATCTCGTGAGTCACCTTGGTAAGGGCCATTGGCTTTATGAGCCGCGTCAGCAAGTGTTCCCGCAGGCTCAAGCAGATCAGCAGCTGGAATTTCCCATCCTTGCCAAGCGCCGTGCCGTTGATTTCGTCCATCAACTGCACGTACAGGCGCCAAATGCTGGAGATCTCCCGGCGCTGCAAGCTGCTCCCGCCACTTCCGCTTCCATTGCTAAGGGAAGAGTCCAAACTAGAGGCCGAGTCCTCCAGTTCCAGCTGCAGATTTTGCTCAAACAGCTCCTTGATCTTGGCTGGAAAGGTTGAACAAAATTATTATAAAGGATATAAGCAAGATTGATTGGTGGATAGAATTGATCATTATCTCTTTTAAACCTGGCTCCAAAATGTCAAAGTCCATTCAAAAATAATCTGCTTACTGAAATAGTCCCAAATGTAAAGATTCCGTCCAAAGAACCGCGCCGACCGAAAGCCGCAAAGAAAGACCTGCTCCAGGCACTTGACCAGCCCATCGTCTCCGCACAACAGGTTGGTTAGCGTGCCCACATCCCGATCTCGGCTGGGTTTGTAGTGCCACTTAACTAGGACGTTGACGCAGTTGCCCAGCTGGTGTTGAATTTCCGAGGGAGCCAGTGACTCCTGACGTTGTACGCTGGGACTTCTTGTTCGTGGCGGAGTGCGGGTATCGGATCCTGGGACCAGCTCGGCATTCTTCACGCTGGTCGATACCCGTTGGCCGACCAACAGGCGTTCCGTGGAATCGTCATCGACGCCGCGGCCCAGCCAACGACCACATGGAAATCTCAAGAGAAAAAGCCAAATTATGTTACACAGGTGTCACTTTAGCCCGGTTTACTGTTAGCTTACTTGTAGGTGTGGCCGGTGACCTCATTGCGCATCACCACCTGCTCCACCAGCCACTTGTGGCTGGGTCCCGAGTTGTCGTGTCCAATGCGCATGGTTGTCAGTAGGCCAAGGTTTTTGTACTGCAAGACGAAGGACATTGGATTAGTTTCTAGGATGCTTTCTTTGTAGGGCGCAACGTCTCGTGAGGATATTTAGGGAAATACCACTTATTTATTCGATTTTTAAATCACCATCGACTAACTTACATGGAAGATGAACTCCAAGGAACCCTTCGGCACCGGTACCCGTTGTGTCTCGTTCATGGTGCCAGAGACCATGATCCAAACATTGCTGGAGGTGTGGTAGGAGCCGTACTTGCGGGAGGGGAAGATCACGACGCGGTAGGGCAACTCTGTGGGCGGGAAAGGGAAGCGAAACCAAAAGACGGCTGAGCACAGGCAAGATACAGGACTGCTAGCGGGACCTACTCGTCGTGGGGTAGATGTTGGTGAAGCTAAAGTAGTCCACCGTGTTAAGTGTGAGCAGATGGTAGAGAAACTGCTCCTTCTCTTCCTCGCAGCGCAGGAAGGCCGAGCGCTTGTACAGCGATCGCAGCAATGATTCGTCGGAGAGCAGGGTACGAAAATGCCTGGACAGCAGCTTCTTCTCCAGAGATAGACGAACCCAGGCGCGAGTGTAGCCAATATGCGTCTTTATATCCGCCATGGCAAGCACGTTTCTTTGGTAGATATTAAAGAAATTGTTTTTTATACAAGGTGTCTGTGGCTTCTCGTTCTTCTACTCACTTCACATCGAACTCCAATGATTCAGGCAGTGGACACAGCTGCTCCAGGCCCACGAATTTATTGCGATCCCGCGAGCGACTGCGATTTGGACTGGGCGGACTGTCGAAGTCCGTTTGGAATGTGGAGAGATCTGCCGTGGGAGAGCGTAATACCAAGTTAGACAACAAGTAGGAAAATTCCAAGCTGCACTTACAGTCCATGCGCTTGCGCATTGCGTTCCAGGCCAGTGCCGGCGAGGCTGTGGCAATAGTCATCTTGCTGCCCGGACTGCTGGACACTTGCGGCGTCTGCTCGGCTCCGGAACTATCACCAGCTCCCCGGGCCTCCTGCATCTCGAGGTAGGCCTGGAGATGTGCCCACAGGGCCGACTTGCCCTGCTTGTTCTGCAGGCCGTGCGACCAGATCTTCTCTAGCAGATCGCACATGCTGGCTATTAGGGTATTCTCCTCGATGCCGTCGCCCTTAAGGCCCAAGGCCACTGCCTCATTGCCCAATTTCTCAAGCAGCATGCGGTTGGTCTTCGACTTGATGTCCTACAATATGATCCAACCATTTAAAGTTCTGATTCAAAATCAACTTCACAAGGCTCACCTTCAGCAGTCGCTCCACAAACGTCCAGTTGGCCTGGGCTATCAGGGCCGGACTCACATCCGCTGTGGTCAGGTTCGCCGAAAGTCGGTTGATGGCATTGGAACCCGGCTTCTGGTCCAGCGAGATCTCCCTGGCCCGCCACTTGTTGCCGTTCTTTACCCGCCGCAGGCTGTTGCCTCTGTTAAGGATGCGGATGCGGAATCGGAGGCGGATTCGGATTCGGATACGGTTTTGGTTGAGGTTTGTTGGTAGATGAAGGTTAGCGCGGATGAGTTTGAAGTATCGGTTTGAGTTTAGTTTGAATTTCGAACGAGAATAAAGAGATAGCGGATTAGTAGGGATTCCGAAGGGGGCTGGTGGATAAGGTGCTGGATGTGGATGGGTGACCGAGTGGAGGAGGAGCAGGCGGTGAGCTGTGGGCGGTGCATGCGGTGCAATTTACGGCGGGGAAACGAAACAAAACAAAACAAAACGAAGAGTCTCGGTTAACGATTGGAGAATGCAGAATTTATTGTTAAGTGGTATGCACTAATAAAAAAACAATACGAGTAGAAATAAAAATATGCTACCAACGGAAGTGAGTTTCCAGTGGAAAACGCGCTATTTGATTCGATTTGATCCAATTTGTGCTAACAAAGGTTCATGAAATACATCTACGTACAATTAGGTGTCTATGGTATTTATAATTAACATTTAGGTAATATCAAACGTTTGCCAGCCTTTTCTGGGCTAAGGTACATTTCTCCCCGATATCTGGGGACTCTTGTTATTAGATGGGTGCTGGGGGTTAGAGGGTAGGGAGTGGTGTTTGACCTTAAAGCAGGACGTGCTCTACGACTATCTATACAAAAGGGAAACTGTGGGAACTAGACGACTAGGGCAACTACCTCGAGGCGCACTCCTGATTAAGAACACCCTTCTCGAGCAGTGGAAAACTGCGGAAATAGGCCGCCCGGTTGGCCAGAATTTCGCTGGGTGGCGTCACTTCGATGTCGATGCAGTTGAGCCGCTTCTCAAAGCCATGTTGCGAGTCCTGGCTGAGCACACACGGCTCATAGCTGGTGGCGGCGATCATGTTCTCCCCGTGACGTCGCCTGAAATGTAATAACATAATAAAAGAACGCATTAAAACTAGATATATTACTATGGTCTTACAATAAAGAATCAATATATGCAGTACTTTGAAAACTTAAAAATGAAATTAAAAATTTATTTGGTCTCAATAACACTGAAAAAAAAGTCTATCTAAATACCATTTTAGTTTTGTTTGATGGAACTAAACAGTTTGAAATTACTGTCACTTCATAACATGCAACAAATTATATTGCATGTACATTATACAAATTTTACTTGTGTTTATCATTGTGATTTTTGTCATTGGTGATGTGATTCCAAAGGCAACAGGGAAATTTTCATCTCTCAGAGATTTTGAGCGCAGCGAGGAGGAGTAAGTTGTTAATACTAGACTTCTAACGCCATGTGTAGGTAAAACCTTATCATTATTAGATTGTTCAATATTGTGCCTTTAGAATATGCACGCAAAAAAAATTGGTATAAATGGAAGCCAAACAGAAATCCGCATCGATATCGTGGTAAAGGCTTAACTGGTTGCAAAAAACCAAATTTTGTTCTCCTTATTCTTATTTTGTTTGTGTTAAATTTTTTGTGGTTTCGAATTTTGTAAAAGTAAATAAAATGCAGAAAAAACTATCTATTTTTCAACTTTAAATTTTTAGAGACTAACCTCAGCAGTTTCACGCGCTGGTCGAACAGCTGGAGCTGCTCATCGGGGTGCGACTCCCACATGGCCAGGATCTTGTTGTCGATCAGAGTGGCGAACATTTGAGATTCAAGGAAGCGCGATAGGAAGGCGCGGTGATGCTCCGGCTGATCGGAGAGGAACGAGGACTTGTCGAAGTTCTGCAGCGTTTCGCGGTTCGAGATCCACTCATCCCGAGCTTGGTTTGGATAGATCACAAAGTATTCGTAGGCGTGGAACATGTGCACGAATCGATTGAGGAAAATCTCCCGCACCGAGTTATTGATGCGCAGATCCTGGTAGTACTGATCCACTGCGCTCAGCTTTTGTTTCTCCGACCGGCGAGCGCTGACTGGCATTGTGGCGTCTACTGCGTCCACGTCGTGGTATATGCCGACCGGCGAGGAAGATAGCGAGACTGTGGGACTGCCCACCGGAGAGCCAGCTCCCCTTATGCCTCCCTTCCTACGCAGGAAGTCAGCAATACGTGGTACGTGATCGATCCTTGAGGGGTGCGCTATCAGCGGTTGGTAATCTACGACACCACCGCCTGGCGATCCCGACAACGTATAAACGGTCTCTTGCAGCTGTTGAAAACGCTCCTTGCTGCGACGCGTAGCCTGCAAACCAGTGGGCAGTGTACAGCTGGAGATCATGGCATCGACTCCGCCTGGTCCGCCACTACCATTGCCGCCAGCCCCTCCGCCGGCTCCCCTGCCCACATAGCCGTTCCTAAAACTGGGCTCCTGGTCGCGGTCCCGCTCGATCTCGAACTTGTCCAGCACAGAACCGATCTCGGCCATAAAGTCCATCTTGTGTGGGAAGACTGGAAGCTCCTCAGGCAGCTGGATGTGCTTCTTATCGATGTCCACGAAGCAGAGAGTTGCCTCGCTGCCAATCTTATGAGCAGCCTCGCACTCGGCGTGCAGTCCCATCACGAAGGGAACTGGCGCATCCAAAAAGTGGTGCAGGGCAGCCGGCAGGATAGGAGCGTAAACATGTGGCCACACAAACGGAAATAACAGCGAAGTAATACACTCGCCAACGATCATAAGTCTTTGGTAATCTACAAGAAAACGGGAAATATTAATATATATATTTTTTATTTGTGGGTTATATCCTTTTCATATTGTTGAAAATCCTACCTGTGGACCGCAGCAAGACTTGATTCTCTAGAAGGACGCATGTCAGCAGCTGTATGACACACTCTACGCCCAGGTACTTGAAAAGCAGCCTTAGCGGGAAGTCGAGAAGGGGCAACTCGGTTGCCAGAAGCGGGCGCTGAAGGATCAATGCAATAGCGGGCAGATGCGGCTCTGTGGGCGGCAGGTAAACGCGGATGGACTTGCCCTGCTGCGGCAGCATCACCTCATAGAGTATGTTGTACACGTATGACTCCAAGCTTATGCCAGCACCAGGTTGTCGAGGAAGACATCTAGGGTAGTAGAAAAAATTAGTATCAGTTTAGGGAATTTTTGATAATTTGCTTATATATCATACCTGTAGAGATTCTTGAGAAACATCTGGGCGGCAAAGGCGTAGGGAGCCTGGCAAATCAATGTGATGCTCTTGGCCACGTACAGCTTGTCCTTGTTGATGTCGTAGTAGCTTTGTGCGGACTGCGGCGCCTGTCCGGCCACCTTGAAGTGCCTGGGCAAGGATCGACTGACCGGGCCATCCTGTTTTACCCGGCTGAGCGAGTGAGTCTGCTGGCCATTGGACAGCTCTGTGATAAACATGCTCTGCAGTGTGTGGATGGCACCACAAATGTTCCGGTTGCGAATCTCTTCGTAAAACACCAAGCTGAAACCATAGCACCGCTTTCCATCCTCCCGCGTGGTGGCAAACGAGTGGAATCTGGGCTCGATGTTATGCTTCTGGGTGCGGAAGCGGAGGCCTTGCGGCAGGGAGAGCTGTGGAAGACAAATGGAGGGGCTAATAACTTTTCAATCTCAAGTGGCGGGTATAAATAAAATCCATTCATTCGAACACATGGCTAGATGCCAGAGATAAGAAGGTTTTTATGGGCGGGGTAACACGGCCGTAGTCGTGGCATCAATTAAAAATGCTCCTCTCTCCACTGACAACTCGTATCAATGAACTGGCTAGCCAAGCATGAATTTCCACCGAAAGGGCAGCCAATTGAGCTCAATTAGATATGAATATGGATTAGGGTGGGTCGATTACTTTGAATGCGTATGCATGGGCCATATTAAACTAATTTCTTTCAGAACCTTTGGATCTATAATTAATATTCAAAAGAGGCATTGTAGTTATTTTAAAAAAAAACTTTTAAGTAAGGAAATATATACGAAAAATCACTACATTTTACTTCTAAAATACAAAATGATTTTAAAATTAAATTTAAACGGGAACGACCTCTTACGAAGTCTCATATATTAAATTGACCTGATTCCATTGACACGTATTTATTCATCATTTTCTGACCTAATTATATTTTGTCAGCATTTGGCACAGAATATGCCACTTATGATGTTTTTTGGGGATATGTTTGACATTATCTGATCGAATTTAACCGACCCACCCTAACACAGACGAATGGGGGAAAACCTCCGGATTTACCATGCAAATGCCATGAGCATCGAAGGGGTTCCAGGGCACATTCTCAGGATAGTGGGCTAGTGGTTTGCTCTTGTAGGCGCGGTCCAGTGGCGAGCAGTGCAGGTTGTCTCCTAAAAAATGAGGATATTAAGGATAACCGTAGGGGGACGCATGGCGAGCTTTCACTTACCCGCAAAGCGATCCGGCTCGAGACCCGTGTCTAGATCCAGCCCACATATCACAAAATAATCGGCGAAGCGCGAGAACTGCGGATCAGCGTCTCGTTTTATTTGGTTCAGCTCGGATTGGGATTGGGATTGCTCTCCGGGCGAGGTGGGCGATTGGACCTGGGCGGAGGACGGAGGCAACTGGTTGCCACTGCCACCGCTACTCCCACTCCCGCTGCTGAGCATCAACTTGGACAAACGACTGGCAACGACATTCTCCCGCGTGGTCATCGCTCCTCGTCCTGCTCCTTCTCTTCCTTTTCTCTCTCTTTGTCTTTAATCCGCCAAGTGGGACATCAAACCAAAAGCGCTGCCTCCATGTGTGTGCGTTTGCTGCTTGTGTGTGTATACATATACCGTTATACGCTCGCGATTTCGTGCACTTTCCAATTTACACAACCAATCAATTTCCGTCTGCAAAAATACGTTTGAGTGCTATTTTTATTTATTGTTTTTTTATTTTTACTTTCGTCGAGAGTTTGTGTGTGTGTGCAGGAGAGAGTGTATGCAAAATTTTCTATGCCAATGTCGTTGCCCACGTCCGTCCACCACCAACAACAAGAAAACCAAAAGAAAACACTCTCCCTCTCTCACTCTTCACCCACCTCTCTTTTACTCCTGTACCCTTGAGTGCGATGAGTTTGTTGTGACTTTTGGAGCTGATTTCTTTGGGAGCCTTTAAAACTGGGTTAAAAGTTGGCTGCGTATTTGTTTGGAGCCAACAACAACATCAGCTGTGCAAATATATAGTGCGTGGAGTATTACTACTGAATTTTTTGGCAAACAAACTACTTTGGTTGCCAGTAAGACCAGGCGGCTTAAATTATATACATCCATAGATAGTGACCGTTACAAAAAATATTTGGTATTTTTAGCATTTTATTTTAAAATAGACCGAAAACATTGGGGTGCTCTTTTACAAAGTCATACGTTATTGAAGTTAAATATATATAAATTTCCTAAATCTACTTACATACAGAAAAAGGAAAATCTATATTCTTCTAATAATAGGTAATATGTTTGTAAAAAAAAAACAAAATTTAAATATAATATTTAAATTTGCGAATTCTACTTTCGAATTTCAAGTAAAATAAAGCCAATAACACAAAAGAAAAAATCTAAATTCTCTTTATAATAGGTAATAGGTTTTAAAATGAAAACGATCCACTGAAAACATTGGGGTGTCCTCTTACAATGTCATAAGTTTAGAAACTTAAATATAATATTTAAATTTTGCGATTTCTAATTAGAAAAAATTAGAAAAATATTTTGTCAGCCAAAACTTAAAAAACCTGTTTCTTCAACGCAACGTAATTAAATATATACTAAAGTAAAAACGAAACTAATATAATTATATTTGAAAATTAAATTCAGTTAAATTAAACTAAATTATTTAGTTATAAGAACTGGTTCCTTTAATAATGCAAACAGGGTGATTATGGCGGCGGAATCAGTTTGTTAGCGGGGGAGTTGGGGTGGGGAACCAGTGCGCAGTCAGTGCGGAACCAGTTCTGAACCGGAGCGCAGCGAACGACCTGACGTGAAAAAGTGTATCACATAACAATTTTTATTAATTTGGAACGTAAATTGTGGCTCCGTCGAGACAGGAGTGCTGGCTTGGGACAAACGAATCTGGAGGAGTGGTGTAAGGAGTGAACGCCAGGGGAGAGCACTCCAAACCCACCAAACGAATTGATATCGACATCCCCCCCCGCATGCGATTGATTGATTGAGAGCACGAGACCACGAGTTCTTGGGACGATGCACTCATCACTCAACTGGACCTCACGCCTGATCTCGCGCGCCCTGCGCAGCAGTTTCTCCACCCTCCTGGAGACGGCCACGGGCGGAGGTGGAGGGGCTGCAGCCAAATCAGGAGCCACCAAATCGGGAGCAGCAGCAGGGTCCTCGGGATGCCCTCGACCTCGTTTCGTGTCGGTGGTTTGCGGTTTTGCCAAGGACAACCTGCGACACAAGTACAAACCGGGAAAGTACGGAGAGGATTCTTGGTTTAAGGCCTCAACAGAGAGCGCCGATGTGATGGGCGTGGCAGACGGCGTGGGCGGCTGGCGAAGCTATGGCATTGATCCCGGCGAGTTCTCCTCTTTTTTAATGCGCACCTGTGAGCGACTTGTGCAATGTAGCCACTTTAACCCCCAGCGTCCGGTTAATCTGCTGGCCTATAGCTACTGCGAGCTGATGGAGCAAAAAAAGCCCATCCTAGGCAGCAGCACCGCCTGCGTCCTAATCCTGAACCGTGAGACGAGTACCGTGCACACGGCCAACATCGGCGACAGCGGCTTTATTGTGGTGCGGCAGGGCCAAGTAGTGCACAAGTCGGAGGAGCAGCAGCACTACTTTAACACACCCTTTCAACTATCGCTTCCGCCTCCCGGACATGGTCCGAATGTCCTCAGTGACAGTCCGGAGTCGGCGGACACCATGAGCTTCCCAGTGCGGGACGGCGACGTGATCCTCATTGCCACCGACGGTGTGTTCGACAACGTGCCAGAGGATCTGATGCTGCAGGTGCTCAGCGAGGTGGAGGGCGAACGGGATCCCGTCAAGCTGCAGATGACGGCCAACAGCCTGGCGCTGATGGCGCGCACCTTGTCCCTCAACAGCGAGTTCCTCTCGCCCTTCGCCCTCAGCGCCAGAAGGAATAACATCCAGGCGCGAGGTGGCAAGCCCGATGACATCACCGTTGTCCTGGCCACCGTGGCGATGTGAGAGTGGTGCCCCCAAACCATCCTCCCTAGTGATTAATGTTTACTTGTAGTCCGTACGTGTTTAGTTAGCTTTAGGAGCCTGTTCCGTGGTTCTGTCTACCGTTTAAGCTGCATGTTGAGATTGAGATTGTGGACGAGGATGACGACCGACGACCCTTTGACCCTTTGAATTGTTAGTTACATATATACGAGCAAACTCATTTTCGAACCGACGAACATTGACGCATCCTGGTGAGCGACCCCCGCCTTGATTGTATACATAACCCTCGCTATAAGTAGAAAATGCGAATTATCTGCCCGGACGATGACTGTCGTCAGTGGCAATTCTAATCACTAATCAACACAAACAATAAACAAACAACCGATTGCGAAACAAACCCCGACGCCGAGGATCGGGCATGAATACGAGTCCAGGGTCCGGATGGTGGACCCGACGCCGGAGTGAAGCGAGTCGAGTGCAGCTATTTGACTGAGGACTGAGGATTAGCCATTTACCCAGGCGAACTGTCTTTAAACAATTTTTGTCGAAATGTACTCACTGATATTTGCGACCCAAATAAAATTATTCATTGAAAAAACAACGAAAGCGATCTGTAGTCATTTCAAAGTAAATTCATAAAAACAATTAACATATGTAAACAATAAAAATATATGGAAATCTTTAATAGAACGTTGTAATTGCTTAGATTAGCTTCATGGCCGAAAAGATCTAAATTAAGGGAACAGCATCGGGCATATTAATAAATCTTGGAGAAGCATATTCTTTTATGCGATGTAGAAACCTCTACTGATCAGAGATACATATCAGAAATATTAATTTTAATATATATAATAGGTATTTGTTTTTCTTATCTGGAAGAAATCGATTACGCTTCTGTGACGCAGGCTTACCTATATGTATTAAATCAATAATACAACAAAACTTTTTTAAGAACACATCATTTTAATTGGCACGATTAGCGCCAGTGTAAATAATCTGTTCATACATATATATTTACAGGTGCGGCTAAATAATATGGTTTTAAAAATTAACGAAGAAATAATATGAAAGTGATTTGTTTAGTGAATAAAACATTTTAAGGTCTTATAATAAATGTAGGAAAAATGGCTTTTTTAATAACTTCATTGAAAATATATAAAACTTTTTTTTAATTAATAGCTTCTATGAAAATATTTAACTTTTTTTCATAAATTAAGGTTAACAATAAACAGAGCGGTATTACTAGTTATACACTTTTAATATAATTGCTTAAAAAATCAAATATTAAAAGAATTAACCAATTAAGAGTAATAAAATAGAGTTTCTTAATTAATAATATTTATAATAATTACAATTTACGGTACATTTAAATTCTTTTTTGGTATATTTTTTGAAAGGCCTTATACCAAAATATACTAATCATTTAATCAACTGCGGTCACTCTGCAGATAAGGAATCAAAACAAAAGGGAAAAAAATAGAATTCTTTAATTGCATGCGAAATGGGCAAATGTTTTTGAAATCAAATAAATAATTGCAAGTTGGTTTTGCAACAAAGTCAACATGAAGCTGTATAAGCTGAACACACACACGCGCGGATGCAATAAATCCTACGGTAAGCAAAGTGTTGGAGGATTGCGTAAACATATTTCACGGTTGTTCCACATATGTAGATGCGGACCTGGTGATGAATCTAAAGGACCATCCCAACGCCAACGTGGGAGATGTGGTCGAGATCTATGCCCCCGACGAGGAGAATGGCACCCACCTGCTGCTGCAAATCACAGAGTTTAATGGGAGCTGCGGTCGCGATGTAATCAGCATCGAGTCGGGCATCGCCAATGCTTTCAAGATGCGTCCGTACTCCAATGTGGTGATGCGAATAGTCAACCCGGCGGATGTGGCCCTGGACTCCATTGAGATCACCTTTAAGGACCAGTACATGGGACGGTCAGAAATGTGGCGTCTGAAAACCTATTTGGTAAGGGAACAGGAAACTTTATATCCAGCATTATGTCTAATATATCTAATCCTCCCCAAGACCGACACCTGCGTGTATGTCAACAAGAAGATCGACTACAACGACATGCAGATTCGATGCCAAGTGTACGAGATGTGGTCGCAGGGAGAGCGAGTGGCCAGCGGCGTCATTACGGAGGATACCAAAATTGTCTTTCGCAGCAGTACCTCGATGGTGTACCTCTTCCTACAAATGTCCTCTGAAATGTGGGACTTTGATATACACGGAGACCTGTATTTCGAGAAGGCAGTAAATGGATTCCTCACAGAGCTCTTCCAGAAGTGGCGTAAGCTGAGCTGCAACCACGAGGTGACCATCGTGCTTTTCTCCCGCACCTTCTATGCAGCAAAGAGCTTGGATGAGTTTCCCGAGCACATGCGCGACTGCCTGCAGCAGGACTACAAGGGTCGCTTCTACGAGGACTTCTACCGCGTGGCCATTCAGAACGAGCGCTGCGACGACTGGTGCACGGTGCTGGGACAGTTGCGAAAGCTATTCACCTCCTACCAGGTTGGTTTTTCTCTTCTTAGGTTAATCCTGCTTGATAGCTTAATTAAAATCTTTCTGTATTATTTAAAACAGGCAACAGTGCTGCGCTATCATGAAAGGGAGCACATGAAGATCCCCCCAGCCACCAATTCGTCGGCCACGCAGGGCAACTTCCTGGAGGTGCTAAACATCTCGCTCAACACCTTCGAGAAGCACTACCTGGATAGAACTTTCGACCGCACCGGTCAGCTCTCTGTGGTCATAACCCCGGGAGTGGGGGTATTCTCGGTGGATCGAGAGCTGACCAACATCACCAAACAGCGCATTATCGACAATGGAGTGGGAAGCGATCTGGTCTGTGTGGGAGAGCAGCCTTTGCATGCGGTACCTCTCCTTAAATTCCACAACAAGGACACTACTTTGACCTCCGCTGATGATTACTCCCTGCCCCACTGGATTAACCTGAGCTTCTACTCCACCAACAAGAAGATAGCATACTCCAGCTTTATACCTAGGATTAAGCTACCACTTTTTGGCTCCCAAGTGACCCTCCATGATGGCACAGGCGAAGGGGAGGCAGAGGAAAACGAGAGTCACTTCCTCAGTTGTAATCAGTCGGAATACAAGCATAATTCGCTCTTCGACTACGATGCCTACGACGAGCAGATCTTCCAGCCGTTGCCCGCTCAGAGTACTTGGTAGGAACTTTGCCATTAATAATTTCTTTGTTAGCCTGAATACATATGTTTTCTATTTTAGCTCCTTGCAGCGCATAGTGCGTGCCAAGAAAACCTCGGTGCCCAGTCTGGAGACCTATGCCTATAGGAACAACGACTGGGAGAACCTCACTCCCACCCAAATCCCAACTATGCGCCGCAAAATGTCTGATCCAGACATTCATCACGGCACCTCTGCAATGTTGGCGGCTTTGGTAAGTGGCTTAAAACCAGTTTTTTTTTTTTTATTAAAATACTCTTTTTATCTGATTTAAGCAACCGGATACCACGAATCTCTCAGAGTCACTTGCTTCGGAAAAGAACTCCCGGAAAACAATCGTTAGCATTGCTCCCATAGTGCGACCCGGTCGCGCTCTAATCAATCCCTTCGATCCTTCGCAAGTCACCATCAAGCTGACTTCAAATCGACGCCGCTGGACGCACATCTTCCCAAAGGGTCCAACCGGAGTTCTCATACAACAGCATCACTACCAAGCGGTGCCCGCAAAAACCACGCAGGCTGGTCAGCAGAGACCATTGCAGCAGATCCAAAACAACAGCCAAACTGAACGAAACAACAATAACGACCAGGAGGATTACGGGTGCGAAAGTGGAGAGCAGTACGACCGAGTGTCCACCCATTCCCTGTTAAGCAAGTCTGCCTCTTCGCAGAGCTTTGTAATGGGTGATGAGAAAATCGACTGTAAGTAGTTGTACCAACTAAAGATAGAAGTTGAATTTTAATATTGTTTAATACGGACAGTCTTCAAGAGGCGTCAGAACTCGCTGATGAACGCCCTACCAGCCAACGTGCCCAATCTGACGGCCACGCAAGCAAAGTCCTACCTCTGGGGCGCCACTGGGGAGCAGGAATGGACTCCAGCAATTACCACAGGTATGTGTTGCTCAAACAGTTTTGGGTTATTGTTTTAGAGATCCTATCGTGGGGCGAGTAATTCGACGGCGTCAGTTGAGATACCCCTCAAATAGTCGCTGCATTAACACATCCCAGCCAGTTTGGCTTGACTTCACCCGCGGAAATGTTTATTCAGATCCTGCTGGTCCTGCTTATTTCCGGCTACCAAATCAGGGCCAAGGAAAGCTTTGTGCTCCCCTCTGACCTGGCTCAGTTTCTGGACAGGATCGGCCGCGTTCATCGCCTGCATGCCATCACCATAGTTAACAGCGTGGGATCGGTCAGTCCCAGCTATCTGGATGAGCTGCATCGCGGGCTGATGCGCAACATCAGCAATCACTTTTATTTGCTGCCGCAGATGACGGCCACCGATGAGGATTTCTCGCCTATGCGTTTCAGTAGGCTCCAGGATGAGGAGACTGTGTACTTGGTGTTTGCAAAAGACTCCATGGATGCGGTGATCCAGTTGCAGGCGCAGAGGGCCCGGGGAAGACGTTACTCGAAGACTTTGTTCCTACTAAGAAAGCAGGAGTCATATCAGGACTTGGAACGTTTTTTTAAGCTTCTCTGGACGTTGCAGTTTCGTTCCGCTTTGGTAGTGGTGGCCTCAGAAAAGTTCTACCAAATGGATCCGTATCCCACCATTAGGATTATACGAATGCGGAGATTATCAGCCTATGATCCGCATCACCTGTTTCCACCCCCTAATCGACGAAATTTTGGAGGGTATACCATCCGCTTGCCCGTTCAGCAGGACGTACCGAATACCTTTTGGTACCAGAATCGACGGACGAAGGCCTGGCAACTGGAGGGCTTGGGTGGGATCTTGATTAACCAGCTGATGGAGAATCTAAATGTGACCTTGGATATGTTTCGTTTCGAGGTGAATGGTTCCTTGTTAATGAATATGACTGCTCTCACGGATCTGATTGTGCAGGGCAAGGTGGAACTGAGTCCGCACTTGTACGATACCCTGCATCCAAACCACCTGGTGGACTACTCGTATCCTGCCCAGGTGGCTGAGCGCTGCTTCATGATTCCTCTGGACAATGAAATTTCAAGGAGTCTTTATGTGTTTCTGCCATTTAGTTTCCTCCTGTGGCTGTGTCTGCTATTCACCTTGTTGATTGTGGAATTTGTCTTTGTGCGCCGCCTGATGCCGGACACCCATCTGTGGGCGATATTGGGCGTGCCAGGTGCTGGTGCAGCCAGATGTAAAAACAGGAAACCCTGCAGGAGCATCACTACCTTTCTGATCCTCGGCGGGATCTTCATCTTGGTACAAGCGTATAGCACCAAACTCACCTCTTTTCTGGCCGTAACGCTCACACGGAGACCAGCCAACAGTTTGGAGGAGCTGTTTCGACTGCCCTATCGCATCCTTGTGTTGCCCTCGGATGTGGAGGCCATTGTTGCTTCCTTAGGGCATGCGGAGGAGTTTAGTACAAAATTCAGCTTTACAAATCCCCAAACCTTTGAAGACAAGAGAATCGGCATGGACCCGGAGTACATCTACCCAATTAGCAAAGTTCGCTGGCGTTTTTTCGATCTGCAGCAACGCTTCCTGCGCAAAAAGCGCTTCTTTTTCTCCGGTATTTGCCATGGCTCCTTTCCATATCAGTACCAGCTCAGGGTGGACTCACATCTCAAGGATGCCCTTCACCGCTTTTTGCTACATGTCCAGCAGGCCGGGTTGCAAGAAGTTTGGCTGGAGACATGCTTTCGAAGGGCTCATCGTATGGGCTATTTGAACGACTTCTCCACATTGGCGGAGCTGGAGGAGAAGCTACGTCTCCGACCGTTGGCCCTCAACTTGCTGGTGCCCGCCTTCAGTCTGTTTCTGTGCGGACTGGTGGGCAGCGGGATTGCCTTTCTGGTGGAGATCCGCCAGAGCTTCGGGTGCAGACAAAAGCCACCGCCCACTAACCGCAACCCCGGGGATTAATGCATTCGAAGTAGCTCATCCTAACCTGAAACCCTAGTCGATAAAGAACCGAATATAAAGTCTAATCTAATTTTACGTATGATTCACATTATTCCCCACAATCCACAAACGCCACGAATGATACCCTATCGGATCTAACCAACGAATCGAAATTTGCAACCCATCATTTACGTATCCCATCGAATCCCATCCATCGGTCGTTTAGTCAAGCATCTGAGGCCGATCGTCGAGGGCGAGCATCATCATCTGGGCGGCCTGGAGGCACTAAGGGCCGTAGACCCGCCCCCCGAACCGGAGGCGGGCGGAGGCGGAAGAGGAAAGATCATCATAGGTTTGGACAAAATACAAATTCACCACTTTTGAACTCTGTATAAAGCATTAGCGATGCATCCAAAAGAAAAGCACACAAAAACACACCTGCAACCATACACACAAAACACGATTAGAACACGATTGTTTACCTAATATCCTAGGATATGTAGTTTGGCATTATTGTAGTTATAGACTATATAATATAGAGGGCTGATGTAAACGTCTCATCCTTGTTGTAGCTGCTTTGCTTGAAAGAAATAATGTTTGCAGGAGGTATTTATCAAATTCAACATTTCAGGATTTTTTAAGGCCAGTAAAAATATTTTATTGTGTATATGAAGAAAAGTACATAGTAAAGTAATAGTATAATATGATATAAATAATAATATAATTTTAACTAATGTTGGGTTCCTGTATTCTTATAAATAATACTATTTAAAACTTTTCGTTTTATGGATGAAAAAAAATATTTTAAAAGCATATTAAAATAATACACGACATTTTCTACAAGAGGTTAGATTGCGGAAATTAAGTTTAGCCTGTAAAAATAATACAAAGAGTTTCTATCACGAGAGTTGCAGGATACGAATCAAATTGTACAATGAAAATACAGGCAGACAGGTATTCCAATAACGTCATATTTGCTTATGGGTGGACGTTCGTCCAAGTCTGTAGATTATCTTTGCTTTGCACTCACCTGCTTAACTCCCTGATGCCTCGCCCCTGCACCTTGCATGTAGTTACTCATCCATTATAATTATAGAGTAATCCGTAGTTTGTAGAAAGCCACCCAAAACTGCACCACCAAGAAACCCAAAACCACGCACAGACACACCCTTTGGGAGGTGGTTGGAATCCTGTATTTGGTAATCCTCATGGAGATGGGAGCATGTTGCCCACTAGAAAGCATGTTGCCGTTGTGTAGTTTTGTAGCGTTAGCATGCTTGCCACGGCCACCCGCCCACCTGCATTTCGTACGCACGCCTTTCATACGCTAACCCATCCGTTGGTGACAGCTCTCGTTCCCGGACTGGAGTCCTCCTCCACCCTCTTTGGTTATGATTTCCTTAGCTCTAGCTTGAGTGATTTTGATTTATACACCTGTACCTGCGTAGGCTTTCTCTCTGCTCTGATCCCTGACCTTTCTCCTGAGAATCCTCCTAATCCCCCGGTGGATCCGTTTGCAGGCGTCGACTGGAAGTCGCTCACGATACCCGCCTGTCTGCCCATTACCACGGATTACTTCCCGGATAAGCGTTCGCTAAATAACGATTACGTGATCTCGGATTACACTCTGCTGCCCGATGATGTAAATCATGATTATGCCCAGAGCAGAGCTGTTTACAGGAAACCCCTATCCACGGAGGAGGTGTGCAAGGAGATCGTTTCGCAGCGCCTTGCTCAAGGCTTCCAGCTAATCGTGGTCGATGAAAAACCAGCGACTGCTGGTGGATGCTCCTCAGGATCTGCGGTGCTGCCTGTGAAGCCTCCATGCGAGATTAATAAGGAGTACCTGCTTTCCATAGGCCGCATCTTTCACAAGATCTCACTGATCGGTTCGGTGATTACAGTCACGGGTTACAGGCCCAGGTTAGTGCAGTCCGTGTGGTTAATTTGAATACAATAATAATGGTTTCTTTTTTTAGACACCCTTATCCTCCGATTAATGTGGACTACCGCTACCGTTTCCATGCCCCACAACACGAGACCTACGAAATCTCTGGCGTGAACTTTACCACCGAGAAGCTGGAGAACTTTAACTGGAACCACATGGATCTGTATATTTGCACGCGTGGAGATGTGGATTATCCACTAATGGAGGTACAATTTAAATTCAGTAAATTGGCTGACATTTGTTAATAAGTATTTCCTTATAGAGCCTGAAGTACTGGCGCTATCGCATGTACCTGCTGCCCAGGGAGAACATTGTGAGCAAGATCGCCAGCTGTCAGCGCTGTGACATATTCCCCGATGTGACTGCGGACAATACCCGGGAACAGGTGGAGGACTTCGTCCGGTTGATCGAGGCGGTCAGCAAGCTGAAGCGCCAGTTTGCGCGCAAGGCGAGAGTAAGATAGAAACGATTCCATGGCTTGTCCTTTGTGCATTCGTGATCCGTTGCGTTAATTCTGTAATTGCGTTCTGACTCCTAATTGACTAATCGTTCTGCCAGCGATATCGACGGTGGACCAATCAAGGATTGATTGGCCACATGCGCTTCCTAGAGTTCAGTATAATTTGTTTGTTGAAAGCTTTTCAAGATAATTTAGCAAATAGGTACAAATATCAGAAGAAGGATTTCGTTTAAAGAAGTATTCAAATTATATATTTTTGTATTTGTATTCAAATTATATAATATTCATAATTTTTTTAAAGTCTTTTTTGGCGGAAAGAAAATGCATTTAAAAGCATTTAATAAATTAGTTAGAAATTTTTTTTTAATATTGTAAAGCTCTTAACTTAAATGTAAAAACCACATTCTTAAAAAAGAATCTCATTTTTTTGGATGATTTTTGTAAATTTGTTGTCATTTGAAAATTGCTAATTGTATTCATTTAGCCCATTTATAACATTGAAAAGGAATTTAGGAAGAACAAACGTAAAATTAGAACTGTTAAATTTATTAACCTTGCATCACAAAGCCCGCTTTTAGTGCCCGTTGCCTTCCCCTGATGTATCGAGTATCTCGCCTCACTTTTGCAGGACAGCCCCATCGCCCACAGCTTAACCAAGCGACGACACAGTACCAGCATTATATCCAGGCCTCAGCCTAACCAGGTTACCTACTCAAGTTATTTCAAAATTTATTTTTTTTTTTATTTTCCATCTTAAATGCGCACTTTTGCTTAATTTCGACTCAAATTAACTTTCATTTGCGCACGTTTGAGCTAAAGAGTTTCTATTAATTTGAAGAATTGCGGATAGATCGGTTTTATCTAATATTTTTGTATCTCTTTTAAATGCCCCAATCCGCTCCGAATCTGAACCCGAATACACCTCCTCAGGGACTTACGAACTCTCCGTTTCGGGAGCGAGTCGGCAGTAATCGACTGCCGGAAAAGCGACCAAGGTTTTTATATCGACTCCAAAAAATAGATCTAAGGCCCCTTATCTCTCTTGTACACAATCACACACTCACACAAAACGCACATATAAACACTGTACTTGCATTTGCATAAACCAGGAACCGTAATGATTGTTTAGTTTAGTTTTATTAGTTGTTTGATCTTGTTGATAACTTTGTGATATCAGTTAATAGTTTCTAAAAAACATTCTGCAAAGTAGAGCTGCCAAACTTTAAAGTTGATTAGATTGTAAAAAAACATTTATAAAAAAATAAAATGCATTAAAAATTCTTTAGATTGATTTGCAGCTCTACTTCTAATTTATGCATATTCAGAGTCTAATCATCAGACGATCATAAAATGTATAATTATATTTTATGATTTATTTAGAAGTTTATACTTGCGGTCCCTGGAATAAACTGCACGATTCGCTGGGGATTTGGTTGGCTGCTGTTCCTAGCTGGTTTGCTCCCTGGATTTTGAGAATCCTGGGCCTAGGCTAAATGTATATATTGTTGCTGGCTTGTTGTTTGGTTATCCCTTTTTGTATTGTACTTGTAGTCCTGTTGTTTTGTGCATCCCGTTTTTCAGATTTTGTTGGTTGGTTGTTTCATTTCCTTTGGTTTTGTTACGTATTTTTTATATAATTTAATTTGGTATTTGGCTTTCAGCAGCATGACACACCTAGAATCACTGAAAAGCATCATAACCAATTAAACTCACCGCAGCAAAGGTTTGTGCCACCCAGAGGGCCAGGATGCCATAACGTCCTGGCTCCGTTTATCTATCATGACTCGACTAAACCCCTCACCGTTACATACCCAAAATCCCTAACCAACACACGCAATTGGCCTGCTGAATCCTGTATCCCCAACCCAGATACACACACCAGACCCACATGGATAAGGAACCCGATGAGAGGAGTTACCTAAAAGATCTATCTAATCTATTTATCTCTGCTATTTAACATGGCAGCATTAATCTGCGTCCCAAGCTGGAGAACGGTCGGATTCCGCGTATATTTCCCGCCACTGATGCTGTGACAACTGCAGGACTCGCCGCCAGAGATGACCAGGATGATGGGTGGGTCTTCAGCTTACGACCAGTTCCATTCAAGTTTCTCATCATCATCTTTTCAGTTTTCCCGTTGACATCAAGTTCAGCCCGAATGCCACGCTGTCCGAGATCTTTGAAGCGATGAAGCATCCAGTAAATGGAGTGGGCTACTTTTCCCAGACTCAGTCGTTGCCCTCCTGTACTTTTGTGTCCTATGATGCTTTGATGTGGTTGAAAACCCGCCTGAACAATGGACGTCATCCTCTGGAATTGTTGGAGGCCATGAGAAAGTGAGATTCTTTTTTATATAAGCAAAGATTATGTACTAATTGTTGATTTCTTCAAGGGAGCGCATGATCTGCCATGCTTCGGGTGATTGGAAGAAGCCTGTGGTACCTGGTTTTGTTTTCTATTATGTGGTGCAGCAGGATAAAAATGCCAAAGGTGGTTTGATTAAATTAGTTCCATATTTAAATACGACCTTATACATCACTTATCATATAGATTACGCCCCGCCTTTGAGTGATTACAGCGCCTTCGTCAACGAATGGCTCGAGATTGAGTTCCAGGGATGCAGCTTCCTATGGCACGATGAGCCTCTAACCACGCCAGTGCCCAATTTCCTCAGGGACTCCCCCGCTCCCCAGTCCTGGACAGAAACCTGCAGTAACAGTTCGTATTACCAATTACCCCTAAGTCCTTAAAATAAACTTCATCATAATTTTTAGAGCGCGTCTATCGTCAGTCGCATTTGGAGATTGATGTTAACCAGAAGAG